CGGCAGCAGATCATAATGGCTCAGTGGCTGTAAAGTGGTTTGATAAAGACTCAGTGTATCTCGCATCTTACACAAATTATGAAATTCTTAATTACAGCAGTCCCCTGAGGCAGTAGACTTTGGGATATAATGTGACATACTCTTCATGTCTACATTTAGGTGCTGTTGGCACTAGCATCACATCATGAATACACCCCAAATACACAGTAAATGCAGTTAGGTTGTGTTTTGTCTAAGGCATCCCCTCTGGAAATATTATGTGTTGTTTGTGTTGTGTTAATTTAGGCATTGTTGGAAAGAATAAATCGAGATTCAGCCCCTGAATTAGAGTGATATGCACTGTAGCAATCATTAATCTTAACACCCCTCTGGCTTAAGTTGTCTACTCAGGGTTATCTGATCCAGTTGGATATGAGGCTTCTATGGAAGCTAGCAAACAAATTAGTAATAGATTACATACAAAAAATGGTGATGGTATTTATAGATATGGGAAAATAATGAGTCAGAGAAAGAAGGGATTGACCAGAATGGGTGAGGCAGCAGGAAAAGGAAAATCAGATTTAGGTACAGGCGAAGTAGAGGCACGGATCATTTATACAGTATTGAGCGATACATAGTGAGGGGTTTCTGTGATCTAATCATTTGGTGTAACTGGCACGATGACTACAAATAAAGTGAACTGCCAGGATTGGATGTACAGCTCTCTGTGACAGAGAAGAATGAAAGGAAAGTGGAGGGAATGGTAAAAAAGGAGGGTGATGGAGCTGCAGAGATGGTGGTGGAGCACGTAGGAAAATGGATTCCAGCCTGACAGCAACATGAACACGAGCTGGTGAGGAATGAGTTTCTGGAAGGTGCGGCGAGATTTTTCATTTTCTGCCAAATGTGGTCAGCTTGTGGCTTACGCTGCTGTTGCACACACACACGCACACACACACAATGACCAGCGCTAATTAGCAAACAGATGATAAATGATTGTAGAGAACTGGTTCATGCAGCAGGGGTGGTGGAGTCATGGGGAGGAGGAGGAGGAGGAGGCTTGCAGGTGAAGGCTATGATCAGTGTTACAGTACATACCATGAACACATCATGGCACAGAAGGAGAGAAACATAAATGGAGTTCACTGTGAAATATATGCAGCGGAACACTTGCCATGTAAATGCACACGGTATGGAAACAAATAAGACTTTGTACAGAACAACTTGTCTTTTAACATGCTAGCTTTCTAATTATAGAATATCCATAAGGACCTCTGCATAATGTGACAGACACACAGTATCATCACTTTGGGTTGTTGGGTTGGAGAAGCTCCTGTCACTGGCTGTTTGAAGTCCTGTCTCTCAGTGCTCTCAGGCTGAGTAATGTCTGTAGCTCTCATGTTCAAAGCAAAGAGATGAGATAGTGAATGGATCACGTTGCTTCCCAGACACTTAGTGATGGTCTGCAAGAAGAAAAGAAAATGGAGGCACAGAGAAAAAAAACACATCAAAGGATATTATTGGCTATAAGCCAAATTTGTATAGTATTTAAAATATGTATAAGTATATGTAAGTCAGTTTTTTATAAATATAAGTTAAGCTTTTGATTCATTGCTTTCTATACTTGTAGATAATGTGAAGGGGTTTGGGCGACTTCAAGCTCACCAGGTAGAGTGTGCGCCCCTTGTAGACTGAGTCCTCAGCAGCTGCATGGTATGTCGTCCCCGTTCCCTCTCTCACCTTTCCTGACACTCTCCAGCTGTTTTATAATAAAGGCAAAAGCCCAAAAAATTATCTTAGAATTTAAAAAAAAAGAAAATACAAAGCGGTTTAGTGCAGGGTTCCAGCAGATACTTAAATTATTTAAAAGGCTTTTAATTAATTGATCAAAAATAAGGCCCTGATCAGATTAAAATGTCTTAAATCAGTCTTTCAGATGTCTTGTATAGACATGGGAGTAAAATTTTATGAAATTTTTTTCTGACATTGCATTATAAAGTCTCAAAATAATTGGTAAGAAGAATATAATTTACCTAATGTCATTTACTGAATGCCTCTTGCATTAATAGCACCAAAAAGTCATGTTTAGCTTGAACTGTGATCCTTATCCTTAGGTAGTTTGATCAGTTTTGGTAACTGTAAAACTGACCTCAAATTTCAGTCTGAGTGGCATTGAAAAAGTCTTACATTTGACTTACCTTAAGCTATTGGAACCCTTTAGTTAAACGATAGCTATTCCTGAAAAAGCCCATAAACTTGTTTTCTACTAAAGACTATTTAGTTACCATGGGTTGCTTCTATCTTTTATTATAAGTAAGATTATTCACAGTATTCCTTTGGGTTTTGGTTGTGTTTCTTACAAGTGTACTGATTTACAGTATATATAGTGCATTATCCACCATGGTTTACAGAAAAATTATCTGTGAAGTCAAATGAAACGTCAGGAAACTATTTCCTACTACTCCAAATATTGAGGTTTAATTTATCAGAATGTCAAAGGAGCTCGACTGAGGAGAGAATTCTGTTATGTTAGAAGGAGGTGAACTGAAAATAATGGGAATAAATTGCAATGAAAAACAGGGTGCTGATTAATCAAAAACATAAAGGGAAAAAAATGACAGGTTAGTGGATTGTGAGGAGGCTGTCAAAAGACCAGATAATGTTATTTGTTTGTTAGATAAAATCTAATGGAATTCATGGTTCACAGAAACAAAGCACAATGGCTCCTGATGCATCTGCACAGATGAGAGATGTGAGGAGAAATTCAGCAATTCAGCGTAATTAACCGCTTGAGAATAACAGCTCAAACAAATACATAATTTTGCCGGTGACAGGGGTGGAGAGAGGGTCAAGAGAACAGTACATTACGCAGTATTTTCTCTTCAGGGCACTGGAAACATCTCATTGTGCGGGTCAGTCGTATTACACTATTGGCTGATGAATGAATTCAGAGGTGGGCGTACAAACACTGACACACACTGAGACACAAACCACAGGAGCTTTCCTCTGAGATCAGACAGGCAGACAGCGGAGCTCGTGGCGGTGTGTGCTTGGCTATGAAAGCCTGCCAAACTCACAGTGTGGGCGAAGCTCGACTGTAAGGAGTCTGACATTTTTAGCCTCTTACAAGGGGCAGGAGAGCCCCTGGATGTAGTATTGTATTTCCAGCATGTAGCCTTCTGTCTTGCCTTTGACTCATTGTCAGTGTAATGGGTTAAGATATGTAGTCTGACTGTAACTACATCCTGATATCAAGGACTTATGGTTAAAGGAATACTTCACACCACAAATGGCTATTTGTATATCAGTTATTCGCCATGTGTCAAGTTGAAATTTTGAAGTAAACCTTTTTTTTATTGCCAGTGTCCAATGAACGAGGAATCCAAAAACTGAGAAAATTCTTGATGAAATGGGTCATGATTAACAACAGCGAAACTAGTGTATGATCAGTGCTTCCAAAACAGACAGTCCTTTCTGACGGGGAACTGAACTGGAGGTGAAATTTTTCCGTGCTCTCTTCAAAGCCAGACTCCATTGACAAAAAATCAGTAATTTTACCTTGTTGAGCACAGGAGCTGCTGGTCTACTAGTCTCGCCACCAGACAATCAGAGATCTCTGCCTTCTGATAGTCTGGGGACACTCCTTTCTAAAGTGTGTTTAACACACCGGCGAAAACGGCTGGCAACAAAGCAATGCCTCTTGCATTTTTGAAAAGGACACGCCTTCTCGGAAATGTGCGCTCCCCCTTTTTTCGTCCGCAAGGAAACAAACACACAGAGAGCTTGAAAATGGATGCCGAGAGATTAAACTCCGTTTTATCAAACGTGTGCTCATCCGTGAAGAAAATATTTTTTCCAGCGGATGTCTTAGTTACAACATGATTGAGCTGACTGGAGTAGTTTCATGTCGTATCCGACAACGGGAGGCTTTTAACAGATGACGTCCTGATGTTAGCTTTGCTGCTGCTGTTAGCTGTCCCTGTCAGCTGACACTTTCTAGACATAAATAATCCTAATTTACCTTTTTTGTTTATGGAGTCTGGCTTTGAAGAGAGCATTGGTATGTTTAAATTTTGGTTCAGTTCACTGACGGAAAGGGCTGTCTGTTTGGGAAGTACTGAGCATACTTTTGGATAAATGAGACTGGGATTGTACTGCACAAGTTGTGTGAGAGTTTGGAAACAGATGTCTTGATGTAGTTTTGCTGTTGTTAAAAGTGGTCTCCTATTACTCAAGTTCATCAAGATTTATTCTTTTTTTTTGGATTCTTCGTTAGCCGGACACATGCGAGAAAACAAATGCATTGCAGTGCACAAATACAGCGTAACACACAGTGAGTAATTGATATACAAATGGTCCATAGGAGGGTAAAATATTCCTTTAATCCTGGAGGAACAGTTGATATTTAGCAAGTTTTTGTTTATATTTCTGACCTGTTGATGTTGGTATAGATGTGCAGTTTGTGTTCTGTTGCCATCACCTTTATTGGTGGGGGAGGAATGGATGTGTTTTTACTCAAACATTCATTCCTTCATTCATTTTCCAAAACCGCTTTTCCTGTCGGGGTCGCAGGAGGGCTGTAGCCTATCACAGCTGACATTGGGCAAGAGGCAGGGTACACCCTGTACAGGCTGCCAGACTATCACAGGGCTGACACATAGAGACAGACAACCATTCACACTCACATTCACACCTACGACCAATTTAGAGTCACCAATTAACCTGCAAGTCTTTGGACTGTGGGAGGAAGCCGGAGTACCCGGAGAAAACCCATGCTGACACAGGAAGAACATGCAAACTCCACACGGAGGGGCTCCCCCACCGTGGGTTTGAACCAGGAACCTTCTTGCTGTGAGGCAACAATGCTAACCACTGCACCAGTGTTCCGCCGCTTACCTCTCAACAGTATCTCTGTATTACAACGTACATCTTGTGGTTTATACCCAGAAAAATAGTTTAGATCTGTATTTACACACATGCTCTCCTCTCCTTTTTAACAGTCCTCTTCCTCTTCATTGCAGGCGGATGCAGCCACCAGCTTCCTGCGTGCAGCTCGTTCAGGGAACCTGGACAAGGCTCTGGATCACTTGAAGAATGGAATCGACATCAACACAGCCAATCAAGTAAGATCATTTAATTTCACTCACGAGCACAGCTATCCAAAAAGCTGTTTATGTGCATGTGTTTGTGTGTCAGTGGGAGTAGAAAAAGCCACCCACAGATTTCAATTAACAAAATGGTAAATTAAATCGTGGCTGGAATCAAAATCAATTACAACATTTATTTAGCACTCACAGTGCTTAACAAACATGGCAGCCTACACAGGAGAGCCTGCTCTAAGAATCACAAAATTACTTTTTCATTTTCTTGAATATAAAACACTTTTAATTAAATTTAAAAGTGCTCAGTGCCAGTCATATCTTGCTTTTGTCATGTGGATCTTTGTGGGTAGCTCGATGCAACAAGTCCATGCATGTTGTCTGTGGGGAATCTTTCTGAAAAAAGTTACATACTGTAGTCATGTAACAACACATTTTGCCAAGTCTAGGATGAAGTAAGCCATTTCGGGAATTAAATTGTCAGTATGGAGTAAAAATGAAAGAGTACTGCTGAACCCATGCACACATTAGCACTAGACCAAGGCAAGAGAACTTTATTGCTTGAGTTGTTAATGTTCCTCTGGAGATATTTCCAATGGTGCAGGTCTAGATGATATTTTTTTCTATACCACAGGAGGTCGGATATTCATTCCACTTCATAAGCTCTTTTCCTTGAAACCACCATTTATTCAATCATGCCCAGGGGTGGCGTACTGGAAAAAGTAAAGAGGTTTTCTGGTTTGCTCAGTGCCTTCTGGCTAACTTGTGTTCTGAGCATAAAATATTGTATCATGAGAGGCACCGCTGGCTTTAGGATAATACATGTGCAGACTACACATTGTTAGAACAGTAGGATACATCTTTTGCTCGGGCAACAATAAGCAGAAAGTCTGATATTCTTGGTGAAGACGCTAGATATAATCCTGATGACACGTCAAAAAAAAACAAAAAAACAACTTTCTTTCAAAACTGGGATGAAAAGTTTAACGCGGAAATAGGGCTGCACGGTATATGCGATAGATGGTAGAAATTATATAAATTTGGCCCACAGTAGAGATTTGCGCTCTACCATCGTATCGTCGATGACGTCATCGCACCTGCCTCAGTGTGAAAATGGCTGCGAGCACAGAGACAGCAGAGCAAGAAAAGCTGGTTCAAGTCAATGATTTAGCGTAGCAAGTGCAACATGTGTTGCTGGAGAACTTGTGAGTGAGTGAGTTAATGTTTTATGAACAGCCCCGGACTTCTCAGACTCTTTTAGCGACTTACCGCTCAGAGTGAACTCATTCAGTGTCTCCTCTGGCAGCAGCACAGCGTCTCTCCCTCTCCTCTCTCACCGTGCGCACACGGGAGTTGGTTTTCAGCAAGAGAGTTTGTCATAAACCTTTGGTAATGTAAACCTATGTGGCGCTAGGGGCTCCACAAAAAACTCCATATGTGAATGTGTGATAGTTGTGGTATCATAACAGCCTGTCACAGGTTACAGCAGCAGCTACAACCCTTAGAGTCTGTGGTGAGGTAAAGTCAAGGGCAGTGAATTTGACAGAGTAGTCAGCTCAGTGTGCCGAGATGCCATCAAAACATTCAGAAGTATGGCTATACAACACATCACTCCTCTCACAATATGGGTATCAAATGACATACTCTATTGGTAGTGGTATCACTGTAAGGTTACTGGTATTGGTACTGTTATCGTAATTTTTTTAACAATACACAGCCCTACTAATGTCTAGGAGATTATGGAGCCCATTGTCACCCCACTGTGAGACAGTAAAAGGCTTTCCCTCAGTAAGAAGGTCATGATTATGAAACAGATTTAATGGAGACTGGTACTCAGGAACTTCATTTTACTGTATTCCTCTGAGGAAGAACAAACTGTACAAAATTTAGAGTTTGTAGTCTTTAAAGGAACTTGAAGAGGGATTTGAATGCACCACGTAATATCACTGAAATCTCAATGGACTGCCGTTCTGCCGCATCAGCAAAGGATGTAAAATAAAAGACCCAAAAGAAAATTAAAAATTCACGACTCCTAGACCTCCTGATTCTCTGTCTTTTGTATAAAATGGTGTGCTTAAATAATTGAGTATATTAGATTATAGTCCCCTCAATCTTCAGCCCTACCGTCTGCCCTCTTACACCTTGTTGCATCATGACCAAAACACAACAAATTCAGGCAACTGAATATCCACGAGGCATGGATGTGTGAAAGTGGGTGTGTGCCGTTTGGATACACAGACGAGCTTGCCAGTTAGCTGTGGTGTTAAGGATGCTTGTGGAGTGGGAGTGGTGTCTGGTGAATGAATAGAGGAGTGCTTTTATACACAGACAAAACACTGTCAGTGAGATGGAAGTCTGGGCATTAAGACTGAACGCCCAACGCCCTCAGTCTGTTTGGTAGTATCGATGTATGCAACACACACAGAAGATGAGATACTGAAGATAGATGACTGTTTAAACAAAAGGAAATGTGCATTTTGCACAATTTTCAAGGGTCCTTAATATCTGTGTATTAAGATTGTAATCAACTAGATAATTACTATTGATATTATCTATAAAAATTGAATTTCATACACACAACCATGTGATCAGTTACATTTCTAACGGCCCTAAATTTGTTTAGCTAGTAGCAATTACTTTCCTCCATTTCCTTATGTAGTTCTTTCTGTCTTTTTCTGTCATAGGTTTATTTTCTTTACTGTTATACTGATGGCTTTTTACTGAGGACTGAGGCAAGGACAGAGGTGGTATTTTTGTTTGTGATTTATGTGATTCTGCAGCCTGTCCTTGCTATACCTACAGTCCTCCAGGCTCATGCTGGTGCGCTCTCTCTGTCTCTCTTGTTCTTGTTTTCATTGAGGTATCTAGCTGCCTTCCATTGTTGTGCTATTGTCTGTGTCTATGTATACATATATGTACATATCTAACGTGTAGGTGTTAGTGGAAGGGGTTTTTCTGGGCATTGAAGGTGCCTCTTGTGTGTTGAAAACAGAACTGAATGTCACAGTGTACTTGCTTTAGTCCAATGTGTGCACAGCAGACGTTCACACGCTACATTTAACAGTGCAGTGTAATTGCCACTGATACACGGCGTGTTTCCCATCGCTCTGCGCATGCTCGCAGGGAGACTGTGTTACCCATTTGAATTGAGTGACACCGCAGTATGATGGGAAGCCTGAGAACAGCGTGGATAACTGAGACTCCTGGTGGCTGCATTGGTTACAGCAGGCAGGCTGCAGCTCCTACTTCACTAATGCTTTGTGTAGCCAGCCAGAGAGACAATCAGACAGCCAGACGAACAATGTTGAGATAAAACAGTTGTCTGCCAGCTCTCCTCCCTACTCATCAGCCTCATCAGGCTGTTCATTTTGTCAGAACTGATGCCGTTGTGGGTTTATCAGTTATTTTTAGAGATACAGTAACAAGACGAGTGATGTTCCGCACAGCTGGAGAAAATGGGCATATGTTGCAGTGCTGACAGGGGCATGAGACTGAAGGAATACAGTGTGTTTCTTTTTCTTCTTCCTACACTTCCATCCGTGAAGAAATGTCATTTTAATACAGATCGAAATGAACTTGGGAGTTTTATGATGTCCGTAGCAGAAGTCAAGCACATTACAGTCTGGGTTCTCAGACCACTGCACTAATAGCACATTAGGCAATTCTGAAAGGTCATGAGATGCTTTATGTCAGTGGTTGCGGCCAAGACCACAATGATCAAGGCCACGAAGAGGACAAGGGTGGCCTTGGCATGGATGTATAGAGATGTATTTGCCCTGATCTCTTGCATTAATGTATTGAGGGGAGACACTGCAGGTGACAGGCTTTTCATGCACTGGTCAGTTTTGAGATTTTGGGCTGCTTTTCGTAAATAATGTCCTCTTTCAGACTATTGGAATGAAAACCTCCAAAGTACATATTTAGGTTTCTATTTTAGTTCAGATTTCTGCTCTGGAAATTTAAGTAATTGGGAAGAGTTGTGGTGATAACTATTAGTTAAAATGTTTACCCCATTTACTTGTAGAGTCTTATTTTGGGTCAATAAATGAATGGAATTTTACAATACATATCTTCTAAAAAAATATATATATATTTCTTTTTTTCCATACTCTGAGCCAGAAGTCTCCACTTCATCAGCACTTACATACACCAAACTTTCAAGTAATATTCCTGTCTATATTCTGAAGGTTTTCACCAAGGGGTTTGTTCATACATCATTCATAACCTGATTTATATAACATTGTATTCTTAAAATATGTCAAAATGAATTTTTTTCAATGGCTATTGGCAGTATTTTCTGATTTATGGAGCTCATTGTGTAGTGAGCTAAAATTCCCTTTGTAAAGCTTTGGCTTTAATATTTCAACAAAATGAAACAAGAACTTTGAACATGGCTTTGTCTGATGTTCAGATTCTGTTTTGGTAATATGTGTAAATTATATTTAATTAGATAATGCCTCATTTGCGTGTTTAAATTTATAAAATATTCAGAACGTTTCAAGGAGCAAAAAGTAATAGCCTCAATGTAAGTAATCAAAAGGGGCAGGTTCATGGAGATATTGTTTAGGTCAAATTGTTATCCTACTCACCTGTAGTGTCTCCCCTTAAGGAGGGTAGAAGAATGTGTTTCCTCACACAGTGTGTATGTATTATTACACTTACTCGCAAGACCACAACTTAACTCATTAAATTGCCCTGAGAGATGGGGCATTTAATTTAATTAAATTCAATAATGTGGACTGTTACAGTATAGTAATCCCGATTATTAACAGGATTATCATACTATTACTGAAGCCTCAAGAAACAGATAGTCCTTTGTTTCATCAAAAGTTCAATAGTTTGTGACTAATTTTTAATGGTAGTTGGTGATAACTTTTGAGAGAATGTTGTAACCTATATTTCTAACTCTAATGTGACTGAATCTCTCTGTCTTCTCTCTAAGAATGGTCTCAACGGGTTACACCTGGCCTCAAAAGAAGGTCACGTCAAAATGGTCCTGGAGCTGCTACACGCTGGCATTGAGCTGGAAGCCACCACCAAGGTACTTTGTTCTCTCTGTATGCTTATTGTTGTAAAGTAGCATTTTTACAACTGTCACACCTTCTAGTACCTTTCTGAACTTTAGCTAAGCTCAGAGCTAATTGAGCTCGATTGCATTGATATAAACCACTGCAGCAAGCATCCAGAAGCTGAACCAGCATACCTGTAACCACAAAAACTTAAATAGCTGTATAGGATTAGTGATGAGCCGAACATCAGCAATAAAAGTTTTTGACAACATAATGCCGGGTTCACACTACACGATATCAGCCTGATTATAGCCTGATGCAGAATGGTAAGGTGTTTTGATAGTTCCTTTAGGGACGTTACCACACAGAGTAAAAGAAAAAAAAATGGAAAATCGGCGTGAAACAGCAGAGGCACTTTATCAACCCGGTGAGTACTGCCATTAGCATCAAGCTAGCAAACAATGTTACTTCTTCATATAGGAGAGTGATATAAAGTAATGAAATTAAAAAATAGTGGCGGGGCTTTTACTGACCACAACTGCAGAGGCTACCAGCTTCATTTGAAACAGACTACATTATAAACAGGACGTTATTTCCAGACACAGGTCTTTATTTATCATTCCCTCTGTATGTTTCTATTTTTACTTTTAACCCGCTCCCACTGGCTTCATAAAGTTAATGCATCACGCTGTCATTTCAAACTCAACACTTTCTGTGTCTGTTTAAAATTAAAAGCCCCTTCTAACTTCAGTGGAGAGAATCTCTTCATTTTCTAAAAAGGCTTTTATTGTGAAACACTTGCAGAAACTTGTTGTGGAGGATTCAGTGACTTGTATGTTTGCATGTGGTGCTTCAAATGTAGCTCCTGCCATCTGGTGGGGCTTTTTACTTTACTACAGTAACAGTTCGGCTGGGACATGAACAGCCACAGTGACTGCAGTAATAGCAATAATAATAAAAATAGGACAAGAATAACCTGATGACATCATGCACGTCATGAAAGACAACCAGCGATGATTGGTCGTGGACCAATGTGTAGTCTGTCATGTCTGTCGGCCAAGTCACAACACGATTTTATGACTCCACAATTGTCTAATGTGACAGTGACTGTCGGAATGGACAAAAATGTTGTGTAGTGTGAACCAGGCATAAAGCAATCTTGGAAAAAGACATTTATGCTCCTAGCTTTAGTTCACTGCAGCTTATCTGCATTGACCAAGATTAAAGATCACATTATGTCACTAGAACTGGATGATCTGAATTTTTTAACAAAGCCATTTAAGAACATGTATTATTAAGCAGGGGCTGAGTGGAGGGGGTTCCTTCAGGGGCTCCAGCCCTAATTGTCTCCTCAAAAGCACAGAACCAGTGCATTTCCCTAAATAAATCTAATACGATTAAGTAAATGTTCTTCTGTTGCCTTAACATTCAATTCAGAGTATTATAGACCACATTTACTTGGCATTGTTGGGGATCCTTCATTTGCAGTTAGAGCAGCCCAGAGTATTATGACACTGATTCAAATGTAGCTCATTTGTCACCTTAACATTATTCTGTGGACTCACTCCAGTAGTAAAACAAAAATAGGTTTTAAGGTCAGTAATGCTACGAACACCAAATTCTTACCCAACCTAGGTTATGTAACTTAAAAATAGTCACATCAGACAAGTTTTGTCTTTTTTTAGGTGGCAGGAGTGAAATTAGTCACCCTCAACATTTGTTGTGTTTCATAATGATGAAGACAGTTGGAGAACAAGTAAATACAAATGGAGTGTGGGCTCTACAGGATGATTTTTTTCCTTGGCAACTAGCATGCTCTTACCAAATGGACAGGATTTTATTATCTCACATGGCATGAGAAATAGTGCATATAGCTGCTCTAAATGGGAAACAAATCTCCTCGGGGCCGCTGTTATTGAGTTTGGGTTTTCAGTTAAATAGGGAACTGAAAAGACAGGGGTATATCGAGAGAGTAAACCTTTGATCTCTCACCACAGGGTCTATATGTATCTATATTATTCAGGATACTTATTTCATTGTAACAGTTGGTTTTGTTAAAATATTCACAGCAGGGGTTTTGCTTCTGAATGAACTAAATGGCTGCCTTCATTTTTATCTTATACACTGAATGTATGCATATCTAATACACTAAGTTTAAAGCTCTCCATGTAGAAATCAAGGCCAGTAGGTTCATTTTTTCTCCCATTCACTCTAATTTTCTTTTCTCTCTCCTTTGGTGTGGTTTCGTGTGTGTGTGTGTGTGTGTCTGTGCATATGTGACCTCCAGAAAGGGAACACGGCTCTCCATATCGCAGCGCTGGCAGGCCAGGAGAAAGTGGTGGCGGAGCTTGTCAACTATGGTGCCAATGTTAATGCGCAGTCACATGTGAGTCACTGACTGCTGTGCAAGCGAGTGTGCTAAATCTGTGTGTGTGTGTGTGTGTGTGTGTGTGTGTGTGTGTGTGTGCGCGCGCATTTGTATATTACTGTGGTTGCATATGTGACACACCTGCTACAGAGTTGTCCATATGTTTACCTCCAGTATCTGTAAGGACGACTGTGTGTACCTGTGTGTGTCCTTGTAAAGATAAACACCTGTGGCCAGTTGCATTAAATGCCTTAAATTTTCTCCTTAAGTATGATACTTAAAGGGAAACTAAAGTATTTTCAACATGGACCCTATTTTTCTATGTTTTTATGTCTCAGTGCCTATTAAGGGCACATTTTTATTGAATTGGTCCAGAATTGAATGAGATTAATGCAGCCACAAAGTCTTACTGTAAGGGTTTCCTAGTGTAAGACCAAAAAGGAGAACATTTCAAAACCTATGTGAGAATTTAAAGGAAACCTTAAGGAGAAGACTTAAAGGGATAGTGTACCCAGAAATGAAAATTCAGCCATTATCTACTCACCCATATGCCGAAGGAGGCTCAGGTGAAGTTTTAGAGTCCTCACAACACTTGAGGAGATCCAAGGGGAGAGGGGGTAGCAACACAACTCCACCTAATGGAGGCTTAAGGCGCCCCAGATTCAAACGTCCAAAAACACATAATTGAAAACACAAAATATGGGTTAGCTCTAACTGTCTCTCTGTACACTGTGCTCATGTGTGCGCGTTTGCGCGCGAGACCAGCGAAAACACATGAACACACATGAAGGAGCAAGTACGCACACATGAGTGTGGTGCACAGAGAGGCAGCTAGAGCTACAGGCTACAATGAGGTTAAAAACAGAGTTCAAATGACATTTTTTCAAACAACTTATTATGTCGGGGCTTCAGGACACTTGGATCACTACGGATGAGCAGTATGGAGATATTTTGTGGTTTCAATTATGTGTTTTTGGACGTTTGAATCTGGGCTGCTGTAAGTCTCCATTAGTTGGAGTTGTGCTGCTACCCCCTCTCCCCTTGGATCTCCGCAAGTGTTGTGAGGACTCTAAAACTTCACCTTAGTCTGGCATATGGGTGAGTAGATAATGGCTGAATTTTCATTTTTGGGTGCACTATCCCGTTAAGAGAGTTCTGTGTAACCAATTTTGTTTTACGGAAACATTAACTTGGACTTAAACGGCAATCTTAACTTAAGGTTCTTTGTGCAACAGGCCACTGTTACTTAATTATTTATTTCTCAGGTCAGTTGAGTCACAAATCCTTGTATGGATCCTTAAAAAGTCTTAAAATAAGGCCTTAATTGGTGTTAAAATGTCTTAAATCAATCTTTTCTAAATCAATTGTTTTAAAACTGCTAAGACATGGAGAGTAGGACTTATTATTTTCTTACTTGATGTTGCATTGTAAAATCTCAGTGTAATTGGTGGCATCTATTTTTCTTTTTTAATAATTTACTTAATGCCTCTCACATGATCACATGATCAGGATAATCAGCTACACTCATATTTTGTTTCTGGCTGCTCAGGGAAGAGGATCCACTGTCTGCTAGCTAGCTGTCACTGTTCCCTGGACGACATGGGGAAGTGCAAATTGAATGAACATTGGCTATTCAAGCAAGGCATAAGAGGCTTTGTGTAGTTTATATATAAAAAGAAAAAGAAATTCAAACTCGGCACGATGTGAATCAAGGCGGTGGATGCCACATGCAGAGTGAGAAACACATAATTTCCAAGAAAACCCATCAAACAAACGGCAGGTATTCCCCAGTTCTGCTCTACCCTCGCCTCCATGACACCTCAGCCCACATCTCTGATAGCTGCACCAGAGTCAGCAGCAACAGATCTCCAAATAACATTCAGGTGTACGCCTACACAGAGAGCAGAGGTAATGTGGTGTCCTGACACAAGACAAAACACCAATCACAGGTGTCACGTGAAGGAGTAGGAAACTCTGTGCAGTGTTCCTGGACCAATTGATGTAAAATACACCAATCACCCAAAACATTAAAACCACTGGTGGATGAAGTGAATAACATTAATAATCTAGTTACAATGCAGTGCTCTGCTGGGAAACCTTTGGTCCTGGTATTCATTTGGATGACACTTGACAGGCACCACCCACCCAAACACCTAATATTGTGTCTTTGTGTATACATAACTACACATACTATAATTGTGCCTCCACAGAAAGGGTTCAGTCCTCTCTACATGGCAGCACAGGAGAATCACTTAGAGGTGGTCAAGTTCCTTCTCGAGAACGGTGCCAATCAGAGTCTCCCAACCGAGGTATGTGTGTCTTTCTGGCTGTTCTGATTATGAGCCTCCACCACATAAATCACATGTAAGTGCACTTTTTCTCGTGCAAAGACAAAAATATCAGGCTACAGGATATTCAATCTTTCACTGTATCTGCTCATGGCATACAATATTACATGGTGTCCAATTCACTGTGTCCCTTTTCCCTCCCTGTTCTTCATTCCTTTCTCATTCTTGCCCCTTCCTGACCTCTTTACTTTTTGTCTTGTCTGCCCTTTTTTCACTCACAGGATGGCTTCACCCCCCTGGCAGTAGCCCTCCAGCAGGGTCACGAAAATGTTGTGGCACTGCTTATCAACTACGGCACGAAGGGTAAAGTCCGACTTCCGGCACTGCACATCGCCGCACGAAACGACGACACACGTACCGCCGCAGTGCTCCTGCAGAACGATCCCAACCCCGATGTTCTCAGCAAGGTATACACTCTGTGAGATTGTGTGTGCTGGTGTAATGGTTTATTTTGCGTACTATGACATTACAGTCAGCCAAAAAGAAAAGAAAAATACATTGTATGAGCAGAAACAACACAATCGCAATATCTTTTGGGCTGTTGTCTGACTGTGCTGTCTAACTTTGTGTCCTGCACGTTGTTGTAACCTTGCTTTTCAATAATAATATGAATAAATTGTAATTACTTTTCCCCTTTTCCATCATGTCTCCCTTTCTGTAGACTGGCTTCACACCTCTCCATATTGCAGCTCACTATGAAAACATGAGCGTAGCCCAGCTGCTGCTGAATAGAGGAGCCAATGTAAACTTCACCCCCAAGGTCAGTGTGTCTCAGCTGTGGGATCAGAAACAACCTCTGAAAGGAATGATGAATGTGGCTAAACATAGAGCACATATTAAAGGATACAGGAATCTTACCAGTACATTTCCAGATACATTTAGTTTTTATAATAGAACAGCTTCCATTATACCTTGGTCTTTTCTTCTCTAGAACGGCATCACACCCCTTCATATAGCCTCCAGGAGGGGCAATGTGATGATGGTCAGACTACTGCTGGACAGAGGAGCACAGATTGATGCCAAAACTAAGGTAGTGTACTGCTCAGGTCCAAGCCGCTGCTCTAGCAGTTTGTCACTTATGCATGTCCAACAGTTCCCGATGGTTCCCAAAACGTATTTCCTCCATCTGTTTTCCTCCCTGCTGATTTGCTCATTCCTGTCTCTCATGTCGTTTAACACCTTTCCAATTACTCTCTCTCTCTCTCTCTCTCTCTCTCTCTCTCTCTGTGTGTTTCTCTTTGCAGGATGAGCTGACTCCTCTCCACTGTGCAGCCAGGAATGGCCATGTTCGCATCATTGAGATCCTGCTGGAACACGGTGCTCCCATCCAGGCTAAAACCAAGGTAGATCATTTGAAAGCCACAGGACACCTGCCTTCACATATTAAAAATGTAGATATAATATCAAAGATGAGTGTTTCATTAAGTATCAACAATGTCTGAGTGAAAATAAATGTTCATAACTATTAAAACCTAGTTAAAAATCAGCTCATTAGGCTGCTTCAAACCATGTCTTCGGATTGTGGGGGCGTGATCAGATCACACTCATTTGCTCCCTTTCAGATCTAGTACATTACCATTTTATTTTATTTTCAGTCACTAGCGTTAAAACATTTTAATGCTAAGGGAATAAACTAAATCTATTAAATAGACCCTACTTGGTTGGGACGCAAACTAGCAAACTAGGTTAGACTATCCAAATTTGTGTGTTTATTGGGCTATACCTGCCAGACTAAGAGGCTAAGTGTTTTAGCATCTTCCATCCACTTACATGAAATGGTTAGCATTAGCTCTGCTATGCTACACTTTTGAGCCACGCATTAAAGGGATAGTGCACCCAAAAATGAAAATTCAGCCATTATCTACTCACCCTCATGCCGAGGGAGGCTCAGATGAAGTTTTAGAGTCCTCACAACACTTACAGAGATCCGAGAGGGGAGTGGGTAGCAGCACAACTGCAGATTAAAACGTCCAAGAACACAGAATTGAAACCATGAAATATCTCCATACTGCTCGTCTGTAGTGATCCAAGTGTCCTGAAGCCCTGACATAAAAAGTTGTTTGAAAAAACGTCATTTGAACTCTGTTTTGTGTACACTGCGCTGACGTGTGTGCGCTTGCACGCAAGACCAGCGCACACACGTCAGCGCAGTGTACACAGAGGCAGTTAGAGCTACAGGCTTCAATGAGGCTAAAAACAGAGTTTAAATTACGTTTTTCCAAACAACCTCATCCTCGGATCTCTTTAAGTGTTGTGAGGACTCTAAAACTTCACCAGAGCCTCCCTCAGCATATGGGTGAATAGACAATGGCTGAATTTTCATTTTTGGGTGCACTATCCCTTTAACTTCATGATTAATACAGCTTTGGGAGGTGTACCCCTGTCTATTAATTAACTTAAGACAGTGGCTTTCAAACCTTGGCAGGCTACTTTGAATTCTCAATCTGGCTAAAAGGGAGAGTACCTGAAAAGTTCTGACATCAGCTTGGCATTAGCCATATCAAATATCTTTCTCCTAAACATGATTGGGCAGAAATTTATTATGTCATTAATGCCCTTGTTTAGCCAAGCCTAACTGCAACCCAGTAACAGGAAAGGGAGAGAGAGTTATACCAACGGATATTACAGCTATGTCAAAGGCTATGTTCACATACTTTTTAGGTTTTTACCACTACTGTTATTACTGTTAGATCCCAAATAACAAACCTGAGAGCCAATCATGGGTTTGCCTTTTAAGGGGCATTAATGAAGTCTCTGTGGCGGTCTTTTAGCCATTACTACCCCTTTGAGCTTTGTACTCAGCAGTCACTGGGGTTAACTCTTTAATACTGGTTTTGATTTGTGACTTTAAGTCTTCTGAAATAATCTAACTACTGAGTTAGATTCCATGTTTTAATACTAATGATGTTCCCAAGGCCAGCAAAATATCAGCATATAAACCAGCTAGAAACATATACGCTTTCATCCAACTCTGGCTAATTAGCTCAAATCAAGATGTTTGACACATTTGTCTGTGTACTGAGCATCTCAGATCTGGGCCTCATCAGCCATGGGTGTTTATACTTGGATATTCTTGCCACAACATTCCTTGGCAGTTGTATTATCTGCAAGTAATTTTAGCACACTGCGCTGATTATATCCCCTCCAAGGATGCATACTCAGCTTTCCTGAACACAAGAAATTTAATCTTATTGACTGCGTGTGCTACAAGCAGCACCATCCTTTTTTGTTTTCTGCTAACTTTCCCTGCTTCTGTCTGTGTCCCATTCTTTCTCTCTTACAGAACGGTCTGTCCCCCATCCACATGGCAGCTCAGGGGGATCACATGGACTGTGTCAGGCAGCTACTGCAGTACAACGCAGAGATTGATGATATCACGCTGGACCATTTAACCCCTCTTCATGTAGCAGCCCACTGTGGTCACCATCGGATGGCCAAAGTCCTACTGGACAAGGGGGCCAAAGCCAATGCACGAGCTCTGGTGGGTTTTGTGTTTGTGCACGACGGGTATGCAACAGTGACTGTCATATGTAGGAAATAAATTCTTAATTTACTTTTGTAGGTATAATTCACTCATCTATCGTGATATTTTTGTGTCCATGTTGCTCAGAACAAGTTCATACAGGGTGTACAGATTTGTTTTTATATAACTAAAGGCGTGCAAAAGCCTGAAAGGGCAATCTTAATGCCCACTTTAATGTTTCAGTCTATAGTTATTTAGCAAAGCAACACATCAGACAGCATCACTATAGGGAGACATCTGTGAGATTAATGAGGCTGTAAAAAGCAAGGTAATCAGAACAGTCTATGGATTAAAGGACATTCTGGCTTCTTCTGACTTGAACTGTTTTCTCTGTGTTTCCAGAATGGCTTTACACCTCTCCATATTGCTTGCAAGAAGAACCACATGCGGTCCATGGACCTGCTACTTAAGCACTCTGCTTCCCTAGAAGCTGTCACAGAGGTGAGACGATTTGGCCGTTAGGGACAGAGGCTGAAAATGAGCAATTACCCACTCCTCCAGTGTGAAGAAAAGTTTCCACCCAAGTGGCATTCATGATGCATTCCTTGTCATTTGTAACAAGCATATGTGTGCATTTCATGTCTGTATTTACTGCTTCTTATATGCTCATTGAAGGACAGAACAGATGTTGCTTGTATGGCTTTGAAATAACAAGGAATATACTGCATTTCAGCCTGTTCTCATTCCCAGGTGGTCAAATACTGCTGCTTTGTCATGCTACTCAGAGACTTATAGCACAGTGATACACAGCTGAAACACATTGTAACACATGGTTAATGTTGTGAAGCAGTCACAGGTATAGGCACCAAAACTACTTGGTCAGGTTTAGAAAAAAAGATCACGTTTTGGGTTAAAGTAAGTACCTTTGCTGCCTTACAATAACATGAGGCAGTGTGCGACAACCGTATGTAATTACATGACACTAAAACAATGTTGACTTTTGGTTTTAGACGGGACACAAACTGTGGTCTCTTGGGTGAAAGTCTTGTCCTGTTTGACCTATCCTCCCCTCCCTCACACCCCCATGCAGACCTTCTTGCTCTTCATACTCGGTCAGTTTCTCCTAGAGTCAAGTATTTCCGCAGATGGGTTTACAACTCAAATTTTACATTTTAGTTGAAAGCCCTGTGCATCTCATTGTGCCAAAGCGTGCCATTTGCGTTAATGTAACATGTCGATGGGTGTGACAAAGCTTCGGTATTTGAAAACCTGTCTAATGTCAGTGTTGTTTTAATTAAAACATTTAAAACTGGCTACTTTATGATTGGTAATAGGGCATATCAAAAGTGCTGTCCCAACAAATGGAGTCAACATCGACACCAGTCCATTAATGCCAGTCAGTCAGATGTGACTAATGAACTAGAATGCCACTTGCCTTCTCTGTTAAGCTGTGATATTGAGCTTTGGTGACCTTCTCTGTCTGTGTTTCTGTGTGCAGTCTGGTCTCACTCCTCTTCATGTAGCAGCATTCATGGGCCATCTGAATATTGTGAAAAACCTGCTCCAGAGAGGAGCTTCACCTAATGCTTCCAATGTGGTAAGAAACCCTTTTCTACCTCAAAATTTAGCATGTGTTCCTCTTTGTTGTTGTCTTTTAAATCACACTGCCATTTTTAAGTCAGATGTACTACAAAAAGGTTACCTTTCCGTGTGTTTACATTATTAACAGAGAATTAACTTGACGCTAAATTACAGCTTGTTATTAGTGACACCTGTGGACATTAAGTGAAATGCAGTTAGCATCCTGTTGCTCACACTCGCACGCCATATAGTATGTGCAAGCAAGCACCTGGACATCAGCCAAAATAGTAACGAATCACACACGAGACTGAACATGACTGACTGGCATCATATTGATAGAATGCTGGAAAATGCTGGAACATACATTAAAATCATTTTTAGAAAAATGTTACTATATCAGCTGACGTTAAACATGGCCGAAGTGTCACATAACAAGGTAAACATCTGTAAAAGTAATCCTGGGGAGCAAAAGCCTCTTTGCTGAGAGAGACTTACACCAAGAATTGTATGGCCATATCAAGGCTATGCTCTCATGTTGCTGACTCATGTTGCAGAGATGCATAGTTATGGAAGAGAATGGGCTTTTTCAGGCGAGGAACTTCAAGAGACAGGCGCTAAATCAGAGCGTCTCAGACACAGGGTGAATACAGGTGTAGCGCAGACAGTGTGAGGAAAATTTAGAGACGATTAAAGCATGTAAACATGTTGTAGTAGATATCCAAAATACAAGTATGAACCTGAAAATTAACATTAATAAGTCCCCTTTGAAAGGGATATCGCTGACTTGTCATGAAATTGTAAAACTGACAATAGATTGGACATGGAAATAACAAATCATCTTTTTCTGCTTCAGCCAGAATTTTGTCAGATGTACTTGTTTACAAATTGAACCTGCCACTATTCAGCAATATGTAGTATTTGATGAAAGACTTGAAAACCTCAGTTACATACATTTAACTGCCGTACTATTATGAAAGTTAAGTGACGGGATGACCTTTTTTTATCTACACCAGAAAGTGGAGACTCCCCTCCACATGGCGTCCAGAGCAGGACACTGTGAAGTTGCTCAGTTCCTGCTGCAGAACGCAGCACAAGCAGACGCCAAGGCTAAGGTAGGAATACTAGTCATGTTGTAGTCATCACAACCCTAAACAAACTTTGAGTTTGTACTGTACATTGTATTTGTAGCTGTCATTCAGTATTTATTTAGCGTTCATTGGTGGTAAATTGGTTTGGCTGGCTGGCTTTGATTTATCTGTTTCCCTGTTTTAAACATAAATTGACCTCTTTCTCCTTGTGTCCAGGACGACCAGACACCTCTACACTGTGCGGCCCGCATGGGCCACAAGGACCTTGTAAAGATGCTCCTGGAGCACAAGGCCAACCCCGACTCGGCTACAACCGCAGGCCACACGCCCTTACACATTTCTGCACGTGAAGGGCATGTCCACACTATTCGAATCTTGTTGGATGCTGGGGCACAGCAGACCAAGATGACAAAGGTAGGGAAAAAAATGGTCTCATATACATTTAATGTCCAATTACAGCAAGAGGATTTCAGCCTTAACTGAACTGATACATTAGACGCTACACTAGTTAAAGCTGTAGTTGGTGACTTTTATAAAAATGAATTTGTCATGTTCGCTAAAAATGTCACCATATCCAGACAGTTATACATGAGACAGTCTGTGAAAAAAAATCATGGTCCTCCTCCTCGTAGGGCTTCTAATGGCATTTGCAAGAAGCTACTGCACATGCACAAAAACAACCAATCAGAGCTGAGGAGCCTCTAAAGCAGCTGTCAGTAATGTCAATTGCTGTTTGTGAACCGCAGTCTAACTAGGCAGCGATGATCAAGTATGAATCAACATTCTGTTAATGCATTGTGTTTTTCTTGCCTTTTCTTGTTTTCAGAAACATATTTTAGTGTACTGTTTAGCTGTTAACTGAGAACTTTTGTGATCCAACTGCCATATTGGAAAGAGTCAAGCAAAAACCAAGCATTGGTCAAAGGCCAGAGGCAAAGCAGCCAACTGTAGCTTCAAGGCAAACATGTCTTATACTATACAGGGAGATCTTACTCACAGTAGTTTCTTTGATATTTGTATTTGGGAACTTTTCTGTGCAAGGGCATCAGTTGTAATTTCCTACTTCAAGAGCACTTCCTGGTTTATTTTCATGCTTAATTATATCTAATTCTGTGTTCATTCTATCACACGGACTGAGTTGTCATGATGTGAGGTGTAAGTAGAAATACAAATTGTCTAAACAAGATAAGAATTAATGAGAAAACTACTCTGTTTTCTTTCCAACAACTCTGAGTATAATGTACAATAATGATGAGTGTAGATGTGCCATATCATCTTGTTCACGATAATACAAGCATGATTTTTAATATGACATGAAAAATTCATATCCTAATACTTGAGATATTCCAATTTTGCTGACATATTGACATCATACTGTTACCCACGGCAACAACAAGCATGGCTGAAAGTGAAATTATTGCGGACGCCAAGGTGGCTCCAAAAAGAGGAGCAGCTTCAGTAGTGTGAACTAAACTGTGGCATCCTGAATGTTTTATGAATAACCCTGGACTTCTCAGACTCTTGTAGTGAGTTACTGCTCAAAGGGAACTCATTCAGCCGCTAAAAATATCCTGAGATATCGTGATATTATTTTAGGACAATATAACCCACCCCTAATGATAAAAATGTTTTCTTTTGAGCAGAAAGGCTTCACTCCCCTCCATGTGGCCTCTAAATATGGGAAGGTGGACGTGGCTGAGCTCCTACTGGAGAGAGGAGCCAACCCAAATGCAGCTGGGAAGGTGAGACAATCTGTGCTTTGTGTAGTTCAGCTCCCTGAAGTACACAAAAACAATAAAGTACTCTTTACACGCCTGTGAAGAGCAGTTCAGCCGCAAAGTTTGACCTTAAGGAGATTGTGAGATATCATCTGAATTATAGCTTATCATGGTATGTGTTTCATATATACATGTTTTTGTGTTTGTGTATGTCTATGGGTTTATATATGTGTACATGTGTATGCGTGTGTGTTTAACAGAACGGTCTGACACCCCTTCATGTGGCCGTCCATCACAACAACCTGGATGTTGTTAGGCTCCTGGTCAGCAAGGGAGGATCTGCACACAGCACTGCCCGAGTAAGATGCTCACATACGTGTGTGCACGTACTCACACAGGCTGGCCGACACAGCACGCCAACCCATCACTGACACACATACCAAAACAGGTCAAATGAGTGTGTGATAACTAGACGTACAGTAACTTACATGAAAACCACTGAAAGCACTCTCTCATTACAGCATTCAATCTAAAATTAGACACGAACAGTGCTAAGAAAAGAGATGCCCACTCTCATGTGTGTCCGTATGTCCTTGTTTCTCGCTACAGAACGGCTACACTCCTCTGCACATAGCTGCCAAGCAGAACCAGATGGAGGTGGCCAGTTGTCTTCTGCAGAATGGGGCAACACCCAATTCCGAATCTCTCCAAGGCATCACGCCCCTGCACCTGGCCTCACAGGAGGGGCGGCCCGACATGGTGGCCCTGCTCATCTCCAAACAGGCCAACGTAAATCTGGGAAACAAGGTATAATATTAGAATGGGTCAAAACCTGTCACTCCTAGAGAGTAAAAGTACATTTCCGTAGCTTTTCACCATCAGAAATGATCCTTTTTGTGTGTGTGTTCCTTCTCTCTGCCTTTTAGAATGGGTTGACCCCTCTGCATCTTGTGGCTCAGGAAGGTCATGTGGGAATCGCTGACACACTGGTCAAACAAGGAGCTTCCGTTTATGCTGCTTCACGGGTAAGTTACAGTGCCTCCTCAGGTACACAGAATCAATCGGTATAACTGTGTGAAATGGGTTAAAAGATGCCACAGAATCAGCTTACTCCACTGTTCTGATGGAAACAGTGGCCAAAATGTAGTTTTGGACGACAGGCCAGACCTACAGTTTGTTGTGACAGTCATCGGGCTATATGTGTTATTTACAATTGACAATAGCTTGAAAATTCTCTTTCCATCTGGGAAGTGGATAACAATTTGATATAATTTAGTTTATTTATTAAAGTCCCCCTCCATTCAAAAACATGTTTTTCTTGTACTTAAGTCCCTTAAAATGACTGACCTTGATGATACTGACTTATATTTGTACAGTTTGTCACTAGAGAGGTGTTTTAACATTCATCTACTGAAGGGGCCGTTGTTTGTGCGCTTCACTAAGCTAGGCCTTTCCTAGGCCTACGTAGAAAGCCTCTTCCACGGTCCTGCATGGAAAGCCTAAGGCAGAGAGAGCAAACCTCCCTGCCCTTCCATGCGCCTACATGGAAAGGGCAGCAGCAAAGACCCCCCGGGAACAGAACGGACCAGCATCAATGTCAAACAGAAATGACACCGATAAGTCAGACACAGCATGAAAAGGAGGAGCTGGGGTGGAGGCGGAGGCGGGTTGCAAAGCAGCTTGCAGAGGAAGCAGCAACAGTAGGCAGGCCAGAGCAGCTTAAATAGGGCGCTCTGAATGAGATTCACCAATTGGTTGCATAGAAAGGAATCATGTGATGTATCAGCTGACTCCCTTCCATCAATCAGCTGCTCCATCAGCTGATGTAGCTGGGATGTGAGCTAAGCTTGACATGCTGCCATCTTGCCTGAACTAGCACTGTGCTCAAGAAGTAGCAGAAGTATTAAAATATGTCTGGAGGGGAACTTTAGACAAATCAATGATAATCTTTAAATATTTAATTTTGTGGACTTATCACAGAAGCTCATCAGTGTTTAAGATGTTAAAAAAAAGTATATTAAATCTTTCAAATATCTTTCTAATCTAATAGCTTTCTCTCTCTTTTCTCGTGTCTCAGATGGGCTACACACCCCTTCATGTGGCCTGTCACTATGGCAACATCAAGATGGTGAAGTTCCTCCTGCAGCAGCAGGCTCAAGTGAATAGCAAGACAAGGGTAAGTGATATCTGTCTCACCTGTATAACATACAGTATATGACTATATATGGCTTTTGCTGCGCATGTGCTTAATGGTTGGTTGTGGGTTGTTTGTTTACTTTACTTTGATTCCATGTGTTAGTCCTGTGAGGCTTTATTAAAACATTGTTTAACCTGGCTCCAACTCACTGGGGCTACATTTTTTCCCATCGTACTTCTGTACTTGTAATCTGATCCTAAGTCAGCCTAATCATCACACAAGCGCTGATCATGGGTCTTATTAGATCCACTCTGCCATGACACATAATGATAAACAGACCCGGGATCTGCAGAAATGGAATCATTCCAGACCTGGACATGATTGACCATTACAAAACGTGGCCCACAGCCCGTATCAGTTCCAGATCAGGGCCTAGGGTCTGGGTAGACCCACGAATACTTCTAAAGAGCTTACTGGAGCCCTATTACTTCAACATGAACTTTAACTTGATGCTTAGTGGTTGATGTGGCTGATGATGTTGGCTGATGTGCAAGTGTGTAGTTTTTATGGGGGTTTTTATGGTGTATGCTTCATTTCTTCTGGACTTCAATATCATACTGTATTGTATCGTATTGTATCATATAGCATAGTATCGTATCGCATCGTATCACATCATATCCTATCATTTGGTGCTGAAATCATGACTTGAAATGTTTTTCTGTGTTTCTTTTTTGTGTGACCATCCTCCCCCTTTTCTCCTCCAGATGGGCTACACCCCTCTGCACCAGGCAGCTCAGCAGGGCCATACTGATATTGTCACCCTGTTGCTGAAACACGGAGCCCAGCCCAATGAGATTACTTCAGTGAGTCATTTGTCCAAAATGCCCTTTTGCCTCTGATAGTGTTAACCACATCCTACATATTCTAAAGGCAGATGGTCAGTATACTGTACTGTAATGTCACGTTGCTGTGACACAGCTTTTAAGTGCAACTCCAGCGGTAGGTGCTGTAGGATTTTAACTTGTTCTTCTGTTTAGAGAGTAACATTAAGATTCCTGACCCATCTGTGGTGATTGTAAGCAGTATGAACCACCCAAGGAGAAACTATCATGTGATACTTATGAGTATCCCTTTTCTTCCCGTCAACATTCATCCCTATATGCTGATGATACTGTATTATATTTTTGCAATAAGTATAATTTCTTCTTGTTGATAATAGATACATTAGATACATTTCTGACTTTAGTAACATATTGCTTATTCCACAAAATATCTTTTTTTTTTTTTTTTTGGATTTTTCTTGTGGGCAAATGTCTTTTTGTCATGTCCCACATTCATTGATAAGGTACTAGACATCCTTGGTGTGGAATCTCTGCTCTATAGCAATGTTGCCTCTTAAAAAACTATTGATGTATGCCATATGTACATTTAGTGCATTTAATGTGATGTTAATGAACTAAAAGGTTTGTCACATTATGAGATAATATAAATTATATGAAGCAAAGTTAAAAATCTACTGTATGGAAATAGTTTACATAATTTTTTCTCACCTCTCTCTGCACAGAATGGGACATCTCCCCTGGGCATTGCCAAGCGGCTGGGTTACATCTCTGTCATTGATGTGCTCAAACTGGTTACCGAGGAGTCCGTCTCTGCGGTGAGCAACACATCATGCACGGTTGACATGGTTACACCAGCACGCAAAGACATAGCCTTGACACAACATGACTCAGATGTTCAATCAAACAGTGATCGTGTCTCGATCAGGTTCAGCTCCCTCACCTGCCTGCAAACAATTCAGCATCTTCCATCTATTCTCCTCTCTTTCCTTTTCTCTTCACTCCCTCCTCCATCTCTGCTATATCTCTCTCTCTTGCAACCTCCCTCTGCGCCTCACAGATCACTACAGAGAAGCATCGGATGAGTTTCCCTGAGACCGTTGATGAGATTTTGGATGTTTCGGAGGATGAAGGTAGGCTATCCGCTTTAATTATGCTATCAACTGTACATTTGATAATTAATTTTCAGCTCTGATTCGCTATTTCTGTAGAAGAAGACTGCATGGGAGGTATACTGACACATCAGTACCACCATGAATTTAAATACGTACATGACTGTTTATAACACCCCTTTCCATTTGTTTTGTAGGGGTTGCCCAGCTAACGTTAGGTAGGAGTGTGTCTGTATCTCTGGCTTGTCCGGTCCGATGGCTAGTGAACTTGTGCCTTCATTGCAATTCTCATTTTCTCTGTGTGTCACTAATTGTCTTTTTTAATCAGTTCGTCTGACTCTGCTCTCAACTCCAGTCCTGTTCGCTCCTCTCTGTCCTTATCCTCTCGATCTTTATTCTCTCCTCCTCTCCCTCTTTGCTCAGAGATTTATTTAAAACAGATGTGTCTGTTTTTCATCAGCATGTCGTCACAACATTTTCCTTTTACCAGCGTTCAATGCACATCTGTTCGTGGACTCATTATTGACAGAACTTCAGTGTTTCTGCGTTTAAAAGACAAACAGCCTCCTCCCAGTCGAGCCATTCGGAAAATGAGCGCCACTGCCTTTTACAGCCTAATTGATCAATAAGCTGATTACACACATGCTGCGCTCCAGCTGTGACACTCAACACACACAGTTGCTGCCTATGTAGTTGTCTTTTTGGTTTTAAAGAGACTCAGAATAAATCAAATCTGTAATTTTCACGACAAATTTTTACACGCAAGCTCCATTTTAATCTATTTTGTTCTTTCTGTACTTGTTTAAATGTATTGCTTTTTCTGCTTTAACATTTTTTTGTGTTTACCTGTGCAGCTTGTTCCAATAAATGTTTAAATGTCTCTGTTCGTGAAGTGGCTTCTCGTTTACTGTTACTGTTATGATCATTATTTCAATATCATTCCTCCTTAATAATTGAGATATTTTCTCCTACACAGAAAACAACCATCACCACATGTGATTTCATCTTTAATGGGCATGCTCACTAAAAAAAGCTGTCACCAGGTGCCTTGCAGTTTGCTGTCCATGCAGTGTCCTTAAGCTGTGTTGATATTCACTGTCTTACCAGTCCTTCTTCTTTCACTCCTTTGGTTTCCATCGGCTCTGGTTGTTGTTGGTTTGACTCCATTGCTTAGACTGAGATATCTGAGACTGCTTTGTGGCCATTTTTTTTCTGTGGTTTTCATGAAGGTGAAGGGATGGGAAGGATGGTAGTGTAACTACTGCTACTTTCGTCTGTGGAAAATTGAAGTGACACTATTTTGATTCAAGTGGAGAGGTCAGCCACAGATCAAGATACTGTCAGTCATTTAAAAAGAAAAAAAAATGAATTGGAGAAAACGGTGAATTTTATTAGCAGATATTTTGTACTTGATTTGATAAACTTACACGACACTTACACTTGAGAGTTGAGATCAGCATCATTTTACCCTGTACTCCCCTGGTCTCGTCCTTTTCTCTCTTAATTCTTTATGTGCAACCTGTTCTTTGCCAGTTTTCGTTTTTTCATCTCTGCTCCTTTTCCGTCATTTCTCACCTCTTTACTTTGCCCACAGGAGACGAGTTGCTCGGGATGGATGGAGCACGCTATTTGAAGCTCGATGACTTTAAGGACCAAGACGATGACTTCCTCTCCCCGAAGAAAACCCTTAGAGACTTTGAAGGTGGCATGGGTACCACGTAAGTCATTTTTTACTCATGTTTCTGCATATGTGTTGGTAAATGGGGGGTCTGCAGGTGACAGCTGAAACCGAATTTTGTACTGGTTTTGATTTATTTTCAAGAAATCTAACAACTTAAAGTGCCCCCTTCATTTCTCACAGTGGTCTGTAAAAGGTATCGATGCTTTGCCAGATGCAAAGGATGAAAAAGGAATGAGATCATTTAATGATTTGTGTGTAATGTCCCTAGAAGCTCATCTTTCTTTACCTTCGACTCAATAATGCAAAAGTATAGGGTCCCGTTAGGTGTAGCTTTAACCACTCATTCACACCATTCTTTGCTAGATGTGGCAGGACGAAACTTAGGGTGCTTTCAGAACTAGAGTTGTCTTGCTTTGGTCTGAATCAGGGACTAATGTTTTTGCAAAGTTGCATAGAGTTGGTTCATGTTCTCACGGCAGCATTTACAAGCGGACCAGATCAAATGCCTTGAGTGAGAAAGCTGCTCTTGATTGGTCAGAATTTCCATGTGGGAAAAATCCAGGAAGTAAACATAACGTTGAAGAAGAGTACACTTGCAAGATAAATGTGACACTTTCTAATGTCACAATGAAGGGACAACTATGCAGCTCCAACTAGAAAACAATGTTTTGATGCATTGGATGTGCTGAATGTGCATATTAAGGCAGTACAGGAGGAGGTGCACATTAATAATCCTCCAGGACTGTAACATGCTCATGTTTAACCCGAACAATGTGTCATGTGACTGTAGTTGGTTCAGATCAAGGTCGGAACACGTTCTCACCACAACGAACCGCACCAGAGTTTGTTTGTAACCGGACTGAGACCACCTCTTCAAGAAGGTCTCAAACAAACCATGTCCAAACAAACCACACTGAGGGGGCAAATGAACTTGAGTTCGAATGAACCGAACCAAACAGGACAGGTGTGAAAGCACCCTGAGACTTAGTATTTAAGATATAATTTCTGTCTGCAAACCTCTAGCAATTCATCAAATCTTGAGAAGAGATTTTAGATGCTCTGTGAATGGCTTTTGCTAACAGTCTGGAAGAATTTAAAATGTACTTCTAAAAATCCCAACCACAGATTGATACACTTTAAATTTCTGCATATGTTGTATCTTACTCTTAGAAAGCTCCATCTGATGGATCTTATATCCTCTCCTACCTCAGAGCTTTGTCCTGATGTTGACACAGGTTTTATTGGGTTTTTTGTACATGTGTTGGAATTGCTCAGGGGTTGTACCCTGTAAATCCAGAGTTCTCAGGAGAGCACAATTTGAATTTGCTCAGCGAGTCACTCTGGCAATCAGTAATGATGCTCATTACCTATGCCCATGAAACGGAGCTGCACCACTCACATCGGTGTATCTGATATAGGCGGGCCAGAGGTGAGCTAAACAGATGACAACAGCGCTGTGACAACGAAGTCCGGAATCAGTCAGTAAACATTGCAAGATGGCTACGGATGAACACCAGTTGTTTGAAACGGCCTTGGCCGCTTCAATGAACGAGTTAGACTTGGCTTTTTCTTTAAAAGAGGAACAGAAGACGGCGCTTGAATCTTTCCTTTGCAAGAAGGACGTTTTTGCTGTTTTGCCGACCGGATACGACAAGAGTCTAATCTACCAGTTAGCTCCACTGGTAGCTAAGCGTATACGTCACCCTGTGTAGTGTTCTGATTGGTCGAAGTGTTATCCAATTGCGTGCAGTGATATTTTCAAATGCATGCTTGGTGCCGCCCCTCGAGTTGGGCCATTTTCATTAATCATAGCCAGACCCTAAATCTTTCTAGATTTGGGTCTGGATTTCCAGGCTACAGGGGTTGTATATTTCTGGAAAATTGTACTCACAACCTTATCTGAAACTACTTGATGATGAAGTGCCATATTGTCCAAAGCTGTTACTATTAAATGATGCCACCTCTTTAGGGCTCTCATTTCAACAGATGCATGCACTTTCTGTTGGTCTGACAGCAGCAAAAATATGTTGGTACTTCATTGGCATCCTCTTCATTCTCTCTCCTGGAATCATTGGCTACAATCTGTATTTGATATAGCATATGAGGAAATGTCAGTAACAAGAATGCATAATGCCTAACAATATCAATCATCTGTGCCTGGGTTTCCTTTACTGACATAGAGACTTTTTTTGTGCACACCCAATGGGTTATAGACCCTATATGATCATTGTTTTTTTTTTATATATATATATGTATTTTTAATTTTATTTTTATATATAAATCTTTTTATACATTTTGTATTTTATTTTCCTATTTTCTTCTCCACTTTGAGCCACCAGGGTTGGGGGAAAAGCATTGTGTATTTGTATGTGTATGTTGTTTGTTAACTATGTTAAACAATGAAAGGTGAATGGTTGACATGGATCATTTGCAGTGTCTCTGTTTTTTTTTTTTTTTTGGTCTTATATAAGTCTCACTTCGTCCCCTGCAGGCCGTATTCTCCTGCTATTCCCAGGATCCCTTGTGTGTCCCCAGAGACTGTACTGCTGGATCAGGTAGGCTTAGCACATGACATGTAGAGGGAGCATTACATTCTGTTAGCATTTGTTTCTTTATCCAGTTAAAGATTGATATCAATTTGTGCAAAAAAGTGCTCTGATGTTTATTTTTATCTCTTCTTTTGGTGACTTATTTTTTCTGTCTCCTATTAGATTGTCTCGTCTTTTTCTTGTTTCCTCTCTGCCTGTTTCTGTCTATCATTGTGCTGCAGTTTTTATTCCCTTCCCGTCTCTTATCTTTTTCTGTCTTAATCTTTTCAGTCATGGTTATTTAACTGCCTCTCAATTTCTCACTGCCTGTCTTTCTTTCTCCCTCTGTGACCTCAGCACACCCCGGTCCCCCTGCCAAAGGAATATGATGAAGACTCTCTTATCCCGAGCAGTCCGGCTACAGAGACATCAGACAACGTCAGCCCCGTGGCGAGCCCTATCCACACTGGGTCAGCTGATCAAACATTTTGCTTCACGTTAATCCTCATTTCATTTAGGCTAAATGATGTCATTGATTGATGCTGTGAGCCAGGCTCATCGTACTGAAGGGATTTTGGTAGAATCAGTGGGATTACCAGTATTGCAAATGTTTTTTTTTAAAAGCACAGAATGCTTCCTACAATGCTGGCAAATGGCAAAACATAACTATAAATACAGTGTTGTTTCCCATTAAATTAAGTATTTATACTGTAACTAGGATGATACATAATCATCATGTTCGTCACTTGATCATAAACTATTGTAATTATCCCAATGTTTACACTTTGTTTACAATATTTATGTTGTCATTAAAGTGTTTTCTAACACATTCAAAATGTTAATTTAGTATTTCTGCCTAGTCATAATTTATGCACAGTACAATGAGTCAGCACTCAAAATGCAGAATATAAAGTAAGATGTTAGAAAAGATGAACTCATGAGCAGAGAAGTCACCCTGACACACAAACACACTCACACACACACCTGTGTAAAGCAGCCTGTCTAATGCAAGATCAAACGGCATGGGGCTCTTTTTAAAGTCTTTTTATGTCATTCTCGCTGCACATAGTAGCCACTCCAGATGGCCTGTCCTCCCTTGTCATGTCCAGACAATCAAATGAAAAGGGCACCCACACAGTGAACTGGTGTCTCCTTTATGAATCGCTCACGAGACCAGATCTAATCTGTTGAGTGAATAAACCACAAGTGAATCATCTGTTTCTGTCTCATTCAGTTGAAGAGTTTCCCAGAGGACAGCCCAGTATTGATTGTTACATTTTATATTCATACCCTGTTTTATTTAATGCTAAGTGCATCTTTATAACAACAACAACAAAGTTTAAAGATGATTATGTGATCATCCGAACCTTTTAATTTAATTATCGTATGACTGTTTGGCTCTCAGCTTCCTGGTGAGTTTCATGGTGGATGCTCGAGGAGGCTCCATGCGAGGCAGCAGACACCATGGCCTGCGAGTTATCATCCCTCCTCGAACCTGCACTGCGCCAACACGCATTACCTGCCGTCTGGTCAAGCCTCAGAAGCTGACCACACCTCCTCCGCTGGTGGAAGGGGAGGGGCTTGCTAGCCGTATCATCTCCCTAGGGCCATCAAGTATGCAGTTTCTTGGGTGAGTCATCTTTGTGCTGGTTTATTTACTGTATTTGGAGAGCTTTGAAATACAAGCTGTTTATGTTTAAATTACTTGCTTTGTGTGTGTAAGGCCATATGTGCATTTATGTTGGTAGCAGCTGGCACTCCCTGCAAGCAACATTTATTTTTGGTGGGTAATACACAGGGATCGCACAGTCATGGAAAACCTTAAAAGACATGGAATTTCCCAATCACATTTTCCAGGCCCAGGAAAGCAAAAATCATTGAAAGTTTTGGAAAAGTCACGGAATTATGTTGTATGTAATTAATCTGTTGCAGTAATCTTCTGTGATAACCTTTTGCACAGTGTAACATCACAAATTTATTTTCTGTAGCTATAGCACATAACACGGCTCTAATATGTGTCAGTATGTGAAGTTTTGTTTACCATCACTTACATTTCTGCGTCTCCCTTCGTGTTTGACAGCTAGCTGAAATTATGTCTCAATAGAATTTGAATCTGATATGTTCGAAAAATGCCAGGCAAGTGGAGCAAGAAAAAGATGTATTTTATAGGTCCTGAAAAGTCATTTTGCCCATGAAAATGTGCGGGAACCTGAATACAGGAATGAGAATTTTTGTGCTTATATGAAATAAAAAGAATGAAACATTAAGTAAATAAAATGCTTAAACGACAGTTTCTGTTTGACTTCCACTTCCACAATTTCCCAAAATTTTCATTGTCATCAAGCAAGGGAGTTCAAGTATCTCAGGGTCTTGTTCACGAGTGAGGGTAGAATGGAGCGTGAGATAGATCTGCGGTTTGGTGCAGCATCTGTAGTGATGTAGGCGCTGTGCCACACCGAGCCAGAAGGCAAAGCTTTTGATTTACTGGTCCATCTACATCCCAGCATGAGATCACGGATACAAGCAGCCAAAATGAGTTTCCTCCGTGGGGTGGCTGGGCTCAGCCTTAGAGATAGGGTAAGGAGCTCGGACATCCAGGGGGGATGCTCGGAGTAGAGCCGCTGCTCCTTCGCGTCAAAAGGGGTCAGTTGAGGTGGTTTGGGCATCTGATCAGGATGCCTCCTGGGCGCCTTCCATTAGAGGTGTTTGGGGCACGTCTCACCAGTAGGAGGCCCCAGAACAAGCTGGAGGGATTACATATCTCATCTTGCCTGGGAACACCTTGGGGTGCTGCCCCCGTGACCTGCAGATGAAAATGGATGGATGGATTTCATTGTCATTAAATTCTAAAATTTAGAAAACTGTTTAAAGATAATTAACATGGGGCGTCAGTATCTTAGTAGATAGTGCCATGTATAGAGGTGATGAGTGCTGCAGTGGTCGCGAGCTCGACTCCAGCTTGTAACCCTTTGCTGCATGTCGCCCCCCCACTCTCGCTCTCTCTTTCCATTTCACGCTGTCCTGTCCATTAAAAGCAAAAAGCCCAAAAAAATAATCTTTAAAAAAAAAAGATAATTAACATGCCAGCTGTCAACCCAAACAGAAACTACGAAATCAATAACTTGCAGTGGATTTGTGTGATGTAATGACAATAATGTGCTATGGGTTATGTCATTCCAAAATAATCAACAGGTTGATGATTATAATGCCATCTAGTGGACATCAATAGGTCTGTATATCTCAGGGCAATACTGTAAATTATGATATATTCCAACCAAAAACATTGAAACAGAACAACATTGGATATTTCTTTTTTTTTTTTCTAATAAGGTTACAAAGTCTGTATCTGCCCCTAACGTGATTTTGTTATTCATTTATTTTTGAAACCACTCTATGATGCTTTGTGTCTTGATTATGTTACAACCCGGCTCTTATGCTTCAACACTGACGGGAGACAAGAGTTTAAGAAAGTTAAAAGCTTATTTATTTACAAATTAACGATAAATAACTGAATAAACCTGAATGTCAGTAATCAGTCATGTCTGCGTGTGTGGAAATTTCTGTAGGAAAACCAAAAGACAGAAGAAGGAAGTTTTTGTTGGAGGGTGGTGAGCTTTTATATCATGAAGCACACTGGGCCCAGGTGTGGCTCATGAGGTAACCCTCTGCCTTGTCTCGCGTCCTGTAACACAAAGAACAGCCAGGAAAACAGGCACACCCAGTGGAGCTGGCTCACAAGAGGAGAAGAATAAGCGCAAAACCTGATTCTAAACCAGATTTTTAGACTGATTTTTGTTTGTTTCTTTGTTTCTTTTACAGGCCAGTAATAGTAGAAATCCCCCACTTTGCCTCACTGGGCCGAGGGGACCGAGAGCTTGTGGTCCTCCGCAGCGAAAATGGCTCAATCTGGAAGGAACATCGCAATCGCTATGGTGACGAAGTGCTGGAAACTATTCTGAATGGCATGGATGAAGGTCAGTGTGATGGTAATGAATGGCTGTTTGTGAGACCTTGCACTGCTGCAGATGAGTCAGTCTTAATCTTGATGTATGATCCTGGAGCTGCCGAACAAGGGCACAGAGAGACGAGACTATTAAAGGTTGTCTAAGCAACAATACAGAGGAGCATTTTCTCTCGCACTAACATATGTTATTGTAAGCTGGAGTTTGTATGACTCAGTTTGCCTCTATTAGTGGAAGTCTTTACCAGATTACCCTCCCTCTGTCTTTCCTCTTCACTCCTTCTCGAGTGTAGACCTGGAGAGTCAAGACGAGCTTGAGAAGAAGAGAATCCGTCGGATCATCTCCACTGACTTCCCTCTTTACTTCGCCGTGGTCTCCCGCATTCAGCAGGAGAGCGATCTGATCGGTCCAGAGGGCGGCCGGTTGACCAGTAAGCTGGTTCCCCATGTCGAGGCCATCTTCCCTGAGACGGCCGTCACCAAGAGAGTGAGACTGGGACTGCAGGTAAGCGTGAGCAGGACTGATGAAGAGAAGACGGAATTGCATATTTAAAAACATGACATCTCCTGTACACCTTTCATAATTGCTTGGGTGTTTGTTATTTTGCTTGTACAACAGAGACAATCTGGTGCTTTAGAGAAATTACTGAGGACAGATGTTTGAATTACTAAACAGCTGACTCTCAGGCTGTGACTCAGTGATCTATGCCAACGTGTTTACCTGTGGTATTTCAGTTTGTGCTGCAGTTGGTCTCCTGAAGTTAAGATTTGACGTATTTCATATCCTGAAGTTAATGCTCTGTCTGTTTGACAAACGACACGCTGAATATGTAAGAGCTGTGCCATCAGTCATCGAGAGTGAACGTGTAAGCTGTAACGCTGCCCTGCAGACAGATGCTTTATTCTCTTACTACTGTTAATCTTCATGTTTGAAGGAAGTTCATGAAATGTCGTATGAGTTGTCGCATCTAAAGTCCTGTGATATGCCCTAAAAACTGGTCAGCAGGAATGTAAAGTATGCGTGGTTGTAGCAAATGGATAAAGTATTCAAAAACACTTTACGATGTTAAGGAGAGCGTGTGGCACCACCTTTTTCCAACCAAGCCCCACCAACTGAGAACAGCAAGATCAAAAAACAGAAATCTCTTTTGTATCGAAACTTTTGCGGGCAATGTTGGCCAAAACCTAAGTTTATCTCCTACATATGAAATATTATGCCGTATGCCCGAGATATCTCCTATGTAGGAGAAAAACTTTTAGGCTCCATTAGGCTGTTTTGAGGATTAAAAGTTCCGCCAACTGCAGCATAAACAGAAGGTTTAACCCTCTCAGTTAACCAACTTCCAAAGTCCACTGTAAAAAATACCGATGCTATGCAGTGGCGCTGGCAGGATTTTGTTTAATACGCACAAGAAGCACTGTCCGTAGTTGGTTTATCTCAGGGTGCAGCCATCATGACCTCTGGCATTGGAGAGCCTGCTGCATGTTTACATTGAAAACATGAATTTCAGTCCCTTAATCTATCTGCCTTTCTCTAGCTGACTCACTAGCCAGTAGCTAGCCCAATTAAACCTAAAAATGTATTTCCTATCAGATATATTGAGATCTATTATGTCTTACGTAGGAGATAATACCTCCTACATAGGAGATAACATCCTGAATATAGGAGATAAGATAACTTCCTGCACCTAAGTGATAATATCTCCAATAGGAGGAGATAGAGGAGGAGATACGAGATTGATGGAAAAAATATCTCTATCCTGTACGTAGAAGATAATATCTCCTACATAAGAGATAAACTGAAGTTTTGGCCAACCTTGCCTGCAAACATTTTTTTTACCTTGCCTCTCAACTGGTTTTCAGGGCCTTTAATACTTAATGATGCAAAGTTTTACAATATATTACATCGCCCTTCTTATATTTGCCAAGAATTAGACCTGAGGAGTATCTCAGCCTGTCACACTGCTCCATGTCTGGTGTCTGTCCTGCCGAATGGGAGCTTTTGGCAAACCTGTGGCTGACTGTCACTCATCCAGACCTCCACAGACACACATATGGGAACTTGGCAAACACTCATGCTGACTGTCTCTTTTCACCCAACACCTCCGCTTGGTTTTGTTTTCCATGACAGAGAGATTATGACGGATTATTGGTTCTACATTTCGGTTTCTTTGGTCACTTCAGTTTACATTGTCTGTCACATCACTGATTTGTCACAGCACTGATGTTATTTAAGGAAATTGCATGGGTCTGAGTTTTGCTTTGCCTTATGCTGCTCTGTTTATGTTTTCCTTTTATCCAGCCATTCATCACTCCTCAGTTGCCTGATTTAAGTTGTGAGCCACACTGACCGAGCTGATGCACTGATCTGAGTTGGGTCAGGTGTGAAATATGAATTGGTTGCATGTGTGAGTATGGCTGTGAGTTTGATGTTTCTGTCTATGCTCTGTTTTCTTTTTGTATCCTCCCTTTATTTATATGTCCTGCCTATTTACTATCTTTTTGGATCAGCTATATTTACTGCAGCTTTCATATTGTGTCTGTGCTTAGTTTATGCACCCAGCCTTCCTCAGCTCCATGTCCTTTAAACTGTCTTTTTTGGCACCCTCCTTTTTAATAAGCTTCTGCGTCATCACTTCCTCCTCAGGCGCAGCCAATCCCTGATGAACTGCTGACGCGGCAGCTCGGTAACCAGGCGACCTTCAGCCCAGTGGTTACCATAGAGCCACGCCGACGCAAATTTCACCGTCCAATCGGGTTGCGCATCCCTCTGCCACCATCATGGCGGGAGAGTCCTCGGGATGCTGGGGAGGGTGACACCACCAGCTTGCGCCTCCTCTGCAGTGTCATTGGTAGGATCCACTTTGAAGTTGTTCCAAAAGACGTTTACCAGCTTTCTCTTTAGAGTGATGAGTTTTTCTATTGTTTCGATTTTTTTGGATGTACATAAAATGTGCTGTTAAAGTATGTATGTAGGCATCTGTACCTTGGTTATCTGGGCATGAATGACACAGCGTCGTTGTTGTGTATCAGGTGGCACAGCTCCAGCTCAGTGGGAGGACATCACTGGAACCACCAAGCTGATGTACGCCCACAACTGTGCCAACTTTACCACCAATGTCTCCGCAAGGTGAGCACCTCAGCAGCAATTCATTACCACTCAGCTTTTCTTCCCCGCTGTCTTGCACACTTCTTATTTCTCTTTTCCTGCCTTACCCAGATTCTGGCTGGCAGACTGTCCACGCACAGCAGAGGCAGTGACCTTTGCCAATTTGCTGTACCGGGAGCTGATGGCTGTCCCATACATGGCCAAGTTTGTTATTTTTGCAAAGATGAATGAAGCACGAGAGGGGCGCTTGCGTTGTTACTGCATGACAGACGACAAGATGGACAAAACACTGGAGCTGCATGAAAACTTCACCGAAGTGGCCCGAAGTCGAGACATCGAGGTCAGCACGGGGGCGAAGGAAAATGTTACTAAGGTCACACAAAGGGAAAAGTGTTGAGGAAAGCAGGAGGGTTATGGCGACTTCAAATGTAGTTCCCAGACAGGCTCTTTTACTAAAGAATAATGTATACGATATTAAATTAACTGTGGCTGCTCAAATGTCATACAAAAATATAAATTAGAAAAAAGAAGCATGATGAAAAGAAAGACTGCCCACACCACTGCTGACCTTGCTCTCTAAAGCTCTCCATCTTGAGAGGCATGATCCTTCAAGTAAAGAGCTATTTGCAGCACAGAGTAGGAGTTCGTGTCCTATGACATCGATCCACTTTCTGGCTGTTGTACAAGGGTCAAACCCTTCTCAGACTCTGTTGCTGATACAGTGAAAATGGAGCTTTTAACCTTGTTAACATGTCCATAGTGTTTTCTATATGCTGCAAGACATAAGAAAATAAGCAGTCAATGCCGTGGCTGAGCATTTGCGCGTTGGAACTGCAGTGTACCAATGACAGTCTCAAAAACACAGATTCAGACAGCCAGGGTTTGTTACGTCACAAACGTAAAAATACCAATTACATCAGCTTGTGGTGTTGAGCTTTCCATAACACTGACGAAACGACTTGCATCAGAATAAAAGTTAGGGGAAACTACGTATCGGTACTTTGCAAATTAAGTTTGACTTTGACTTCAACTTTTCAGAGCTAGCATTAGAATTAGCAGCACATTATTAGCTGTTTGATAACATAGTCAAGCCACTGGCTCATAATATTTACTTCTGTTTGTGTGTTTGATGAGCAGAATTGAAGGTGAGCAGGTATGCTCGAGCTGCATATTTATTTGTCCACGCATATTAAATAAGGCAAAGGTGTACAGTTACATCAGAGCCTCAAGGTATGAAGGGATTTTTTTCATGGAAAAACTTCTACATGTGTAATTTTGATGAACAGATGAGTTTCTATGCCTCCATGCCAGTGATAGCCTTGGCCGGAGCCATAATGTTTTTAAGTTGTCCATACCTACTTACATCTATTCGGCCCATTTTGTAAACGTGATACCTCAAAGAAAGGCTTGGGGGAATATCTTCAATTTGGCACAAACATCCACTTTGATGAACTGATTAGATTTTGGTGGTCAAAGGTTGAGGTCAGTGTGATCTTGCATCCATCTCATTTTTGTGAATGTGATATCTCAAGAACACCTTGAGGTAATTCTTTCAAATTTGGCACAAACATTTACTTGGGTTCAGGAATGAACTGATTAGATTTTGGTGGTCAAAGGTCAAGGTCAATGTGATCTTGCATCCGTCTCATTCTCATGTAAGTGATGTCTCAAGAGCACTTGAGGTAATTCTTTCAAATTTGGCACAAACATTTACTTGGACTCAAGAATGAACTGATTAGATTTTGGTTTTCGAAGGTCAAGGTCAATGTGATCTTGCATCCATCTCATTCTCATAAAAGTGATGTCCCAAGAACAGCTGGAGGTAATTTCTCAAATTTGGCATAAACATTTACTCGGACTCAAGAATGAACTGATTAGAATTTGGTAGTCAAAGGTCACTGTTACCTCACAAAACATGTTTTTGGCCATAACTCACGAATTCATGCGCTAATTGTGACAAAATATCACAGAAATGTCCACTAGGATAAAATGATGAAGTGACGACATTTTATATCCCAAAGGTCAACTTCATTGTGACATCATAATGTTCTGCAAAAACAAAACACTTTTCTTACCATTATTCAACGTCATATCTTAGAAACAGAAGGGGACACATGGTCAGATACTGAATTGGTGACACTAATCTTGGGTGCCCATCTTAAAACTGTGCTGATTGTATAGATCATCTGTGCTGCCGGGGGGAAGATGTGTGTGAAGCATCCATGTTTTCGAAGACTTGACTGGTTCACAGAGGCATACAAATGCAAAGGGGTTATTCTGGTCAAGGGTTGAATCAATACCAGGAGAGTAACTTTACCATTTTGTGATACTTCCCACAGCTGATGGAGGGCATGCCGCTGCACCTGGAGTGTTCTGGGAACCTCGTGCCCATCAGGAAGGCCACGCAGCAGCCTCGCAGCTTCAGCTTCCAGGCCTTCAGAGATAACAGGCTGCCCGTCTCTGTCAAGGTCTGTCTTTATCTGACTGTTCATATGCCTGCTCTTCTGTCACTCGCTACGTATTCATACAGTACTGTGGTTTTGTTTGTTCAGTCATTGAATTCAGTGTGTCAAGGAGCCTCTCGCCAGTTAGTCAGTGTCCCTCCTGAGCACCCACCCGCTGTTCACCCAAACAACCCGTTGGTACGGTGGTTTCTGTGTGCTTCTGTGTCATTTCTATCAGGCAGCCTCTCAGTTTGTCTCATCATTAGCATGTTAAGGTTTAGATAGCAGCACAGTGCTGTGTACTCTGCACTCATTCAACACCACAGCAACACCACACTATGACAGTTAAATACACTTGAAAAACAGTGACATTAGTATAGAGACGTAACAACACTAAGAAAAGTTAAGACAGTTAATTAATTGTGGTCAAGGGTCAATGTGTAATAATAAACACCACCATGATATGTAATGGTACACTTTTTTAAGTGTGCCCCTTTGGTTTCAGATGCATCAGTGTAAAATTAGTCCTAAATGTCATTTCTTTGTCTCTTTTTACATTCTGCATTTTATTGATGTTGTTTAAACCCCCTCTGTTGCACAGATAACTTGTTTTCATACTGTGTGTGCTTTTTGGTGTCTGTTGTCTATTATCATATTCATGTAAAGTTTTTATTTGTACGTTTTATTTGATAATCCATCTGTTTGTCCATCAGTGTCTTCTTTCTGTGTCTCTGTCAGTGTGACACACACTACTGTTCAGTATCAGCTAGACCACTTTGATAAATATCTAGTCATTACGGTGTAGCCGAGCAACAAACAACTTACCTATCTACCTGTCGACTCTCGTGGGTAATTGTTTGCATGTCCTGTGACTCCCTCACTTTCTTTGCCTGCCTTCCTATCTTGCGGCCTTGCTTGTCTGTACGTGTCTGTCTCACTGTCTCTCTTTCTCTCTCTCACGGTCACTCTGTAACTGTCTGGTCTGACAGACGTCCAGGTAAAATGTGCAGGTAAATCTCTCTCTCTCGCCTGCCTGTGGACTGCTTCCATCCCTGTTTCCCCCTGCTTCTCGTCCCATGTTACTGCACCACATGCTCGAGACACTGTGGAGGGCGCTAATACCCATTCTGATCTGTTTTTCTTCCTCCCTCTCCTCTCTCTTGCTCTGTTTCACTCTCTCCTTTTCTCACGCGCTCTGCCTCTTAACCTGTCTCTTACCTTCACTTCCTTCCTTGCTCCATCTCTCTTTGCTCACCCCTTCTCTCTTCCATTCCTACCATCTGGTTTCATCTTTTTCCTCCACGCTCTCCCTCCGTATTCTTCTTCTTCTTCTTCTCTCTTTCTGTCTCTTCTTCTCTCTGTCTGACATTTCTCTACGTTAGGTCAGAGATAGTAACAAGGATGCCACTGGGTTTTTGTCCTTTCTGCGGAAGTGCACCAAGTACGAGGACACACAACACGTACTGTGTAACCTAAACATAACCATGCCACCCTGTGTCAAGGTACGGACTTGCTTGCAAACACCTCCCCACAAGATCACATACACAAACTTTTGTTCTTGAATTTCCCTAGAAATCCATCTGCTTGATGAGACAGAGGTTGCTACGTGACATGCTCCGATTTAAGAAGTCAGTTTTTCTTACATTTCTCTTTAACGTATAACACAACCGCTACATTATGTCTTGCTTACCAAGTGTGATGTCTGAGGTGGGAGTAAAGCCATTACTCACCGTATCTGATTGGCTAGAGGACAGTAAGACTCTACTGTATATTCTACTAATATACAATGGAGAAACTCATCTGATAATGTGGCTTGTTCAATATTTGAAATGCTGAGTAGCTGTAGTAGTTCAAAATGTGCACAATGTCGACCAATCTCTGATTTCATGTAAACTTTTTCATTTCCAGGTCGTCAAATACTAATGCATTGTCATGCCTTGTAGCGTGTGATACAGACGCCAAAGGCCTCCTTTGGAGTCTCTAAGAGACACAAGCTAGGAGTGACTATATTTGGACAAGAGACTGGAGCTGTGGAGAGGATAACATCTGCAGACAGCCTGGCCCTTAATTATGCGTACCTTTAAGCCTTAGTAAAATGTAAATGAGTGAGTTTTTAAAAAATCATCCCTCATACAGTTGTCATGAATGTTGTAATTAGCTTAAGAGACCAAAACAGCTTTTTGTAACAGGTTGTAAACATGTTTATTTATGCTGTAAAGTTGAGCATTTAAAAATGGAGGGTCTATGGGCACTGACTTGCTTCTGGAGCCAGCCTCAAGCAGCCATTCAAAGAACTGCGGTTTTTGGCACGTCTGTGTCAGCTTCAGCAAGTTTAACCCAACAGATAAGTGTGCGTCACATCTATAAGTAAAGGGTCTCTGTCCTAGAGATGCCAAAGGGTGCCTTCAGCGTCAGTATCACATGCCAGTGGCACAAGAGAGCATCAGAATTTGACGACCTAGAATGAGAACTTACCAATACAGTAAAAACATAGGTGATTGTTATTGTGATGTCATTTATCATCTACTGGTATGCACTAAAATTAAATTCTGTTTGGAGAAATGAAAAGTAAAACCATGTGCAGTCATTCTTAGCCCATTTAACATTAACTTTTGTAACCACAGAGCAGTCTTTTTGAAAATGTCCAAAGTGACCAAGAAGATGAAACTTCTATTGATACACATAGTGTGTGCTCATATTTATTGTGCCACCAGTTCGCCAGAGCTTTATAAAGCGCTAATGTCCTGCAGACCAAACAGTGGCCTGCAGGACATTAGCGCTAAAAGGCTCAAAAGTACGACATTAATGACACTTCTAATGTTATTGTGTTGTTTGTATTTATTTTTCAGGTTGTTGGAAGTGAGGAGCGCAGACGAACCTTAACCCCCCTCGCCCTGAGGGAACGCTACAGCGCACTGAACGAGCCTGGTGTGGGTGAGTCCTTCGCTGCCCGACCTTCAGCCCTCTCCTGATTTATTGACAGTGGAGACGGGCACTGAATGTTGCACCGCCCCTTTACCCACAACCCTTTGCTTCCCACTCTGCCCCCTCTATTTTCCCCCTATCTGTCTCGCGTGCACGCATGGCACAAAGACTGAGCCTTGGATGCAATGCACTGCTCTACAGTACGCCCCAGAGTCCTTTGCAGTGCAGTTAGAGGAAATCATATTGAATGTGCGACCAAAAGATGAGCAGCCGTCCCCAGCGTGGCCCAGAATGGCACCATGGCACATGGCAAATCAGCCTTTATGTGTGTCGAGTGTCCTGGTAGCTATGACAACAGATGAATGACCTCTGTGATTGGTTTGCATGGCGCTAGTGTCTCCACTGCGATTTCCAATGGCATGGCAGCAGATACTGTTAGCATTAGCACTGTAGCTTAGCACTGGGAATGGGCAGGACCTCGCAGTGGAGCTAGACAGAGGAGCCCTCACACTGATTGGCCTGTGGTAAACGAACAGAGTCAAGATGGCCGCTCTGGTTGGTCTAAACGTTGCTGATGGCGGGTGGTGGGTTGAAGAGGAAAGGCCTTTTCTGTCTATCACACAGCGCTGCTACACTGCACCTCAGTCCCTCTGTAATGGTTTCTGAATGCTACTTTGATTGGTGGGACTAGCACCTGAATGAACCCCAAATTCTAACCTGCCCTGCCCATATGGTGTGTTAACTCTGAAGGTTATTTGGACAGAAACAGTGTTGTGGGTATTGCTTATTTCCTTCAACAGAGCAATGCATTTGCTGAGGTGAGTATTGCTATTAGCATTAGCAACACTTAAGCAACTCAAGTCAATGACAAGGGCACAGAAGATTTATTAAAATCAAAAAGAAAATAGCAACTGTAGTATTTGAGTATTATGAATAACACACATTTAGATGGGCCAGAGTTGATACGATCTGTCCACTAAATCCCAAACTATTGTTACTTCATCATCAGCTGGACTGTCTAAATAAATCCTGACTCAAACATGCTCTACTTAATTTAATTTAATCACAGTCAGGGGTACAGTCTCCTGAATAAAGTAAATCTACAGATATTTGTGACATGGCAGCGAGCTTCTAATTTGGCTGCTTTTTCTTTTCTCATTTTAGCCACAGTGAATGCCATGGAGAGGACTGAGATCAAGATCAACATCATATCTGAGCAGCTTGGTTTGAGCTGGGCAGGTTAGTCGTTTAAAAGATCAAATGAGCTACGAATCTTCTGTATCTGTCTGTTGTTGTGTGTATCTTTTTATCTACTCTACTGTCCATTTGTCAGAGTTGGCACGTGAGCTACAGTTTGGTGTGGACGACATCAACAGGATTCGTGTGGAGAATCCCAACTCCCTGCTGGACCAAAGCTCCACCCTGCTCAACCTGTGGGCCAGCAGAGAAGGCAAAAGGGCCAAGAGTAAGTCTGACACTGCTGTACATTGTCAGAAACTAGCTACAAATAGCTAATGTTAGCTACTTCAGTATTGCAGTATTCATTTAGCAGTGCATGTAAACTGCTGTAAGTTACAGACGTTGATTCCTGCAGGATTGTTAAGTATAAATTGCAGCACAAAAATACTCGTGTGTGTTGTAATCAGAGCTCTGATACTTGTTGTGGTAGACGGTCTGACCATGAATGCATTTTAGTGCATGTGAGTTCCATCTGTGTATCCTACTTGCTAATTTCCACTGCTCTACACTGCACTCATACACCAGTTATAGCTGAGTTTGGGACAGTGTAGTGCCCACTCTCAGGTTTACACTGTTAGCTCTTTCAGCACTGTTGCTGTAGTTAGCACTGTTAGTGACGAGCCACCATCTCAGCCACTTTCATGTTAAGAGCCATGTGCACACAACCTCTGAATCATAGATACACTCTGAATATGGTGTAGAGCTCCTTTTACATTTTTTGGCTCTGGCTGTCTACACGAATAATGCTCTCTGACTCTCTTTGCTATCTGTCTTCGACCCCGCTCCCTGTGTTTCCTTCTCAGTGGAGAGTCTGTACACTGCTCTGAGAAATATAGATCGAGCAGACATTGTCACATCTCTGGAGGGTCAGGCTCCACAGCCAGCGCCCGGTTCATTAGAGGAGGGTGCCTGTCGAATTAGCGACCGCGACTCCACCCTGCTGTCCCCCAGTGTCCTCAATGGTAAGACACACAAACACATCGAACATCACATAAGATGCACTATATCCTTGTGAATGAACAGTGAATTACCCCACTACATTCAGATAGTCTTAAAATTAGCCTAACACTTTGTTTAAAGCCAGTGAAACAATCTGTCACTAAGGTGGTATTTTTCTGTAGCAAGTTATGGATCAGTTTCTGTTAAGAATGAAAGTATTCCCCATTCAAGACATTTTGAGGGTGATTATAAGATGAAATAAATACGGAATGAATCCTCAGTATTTTCATGTTTGCTTGTCCCATTATGATCTGTAACGATCAGAAATGGAAAGTTTAAAGGAAGTTCCTGCTCCAGCAGAATTTGGAAGGAAAGTTAATTAGAGGCTCAGGAAATCCAGTTGCCAAGTACAGTATTTCAGGGTTCCCACAGATGCTTAAAAAGTCTTAAAATGGGGCGGCCACTAGCTCACCCAGTAGAGCAGGCACCCCACGCACAAAGGCCATGGCCTTGCCGCAAAGGCTGCAGACTCAATTCCTCGAAATCTCAAAATAATTGGTAACATCTATTTTTTAAAATGCACAAATGCCTCTCCTGTGATGTCATCACATCAGGACACACTCGTTTTACTGTCTACTACTGTCTGCTCACTAGCTGTCACTGTGCCCTTCGAGGCTCGGTCTATTTTATGCAAAAGGTTTTTCAAAGTCAGCATGGTGGGGATTGAGGCAGAGTGAGAAACACAAAATTGCCAAGAAAACTCGGCAACATCGGGAGGTATTTCCCAGCTCTGTTCTCCCCCCGTCCCTGTCTTATTTCTTTTTTTTTACTCTTTTTTTTATTTCTTTTGCATTTAAAAAGTGTTAAATCTAAGTTGCCTTAAGCTGTAGGAACCCTGTATTTGGTGTACTTGGTACTATGTGCATATATATGTTTATAGGGAAGTCAATGGTTAAAAAGGACTTTCAAAAAATACTTTTAAAAAACCTTGTTATACTATGGTGATTAAAAATTACAGCGATTCTACCCTTATTTTACAATTATTTGTCAAGGATTTATTTACTCAAACACTTTTACTGTAAACAAATGTAGACTATTGGTCAGCAGGTATAGTCAACACAGCTAAACATCTGAGACAAAATTCTCCAGCTCAATAAGGTGAGCTGTTGTCCTTATTTACTTTCCACCTCTGAAACCCTCCCTGCTTCCCTTGAGTGTGGGTAACAGCCATTTTGCCTTGTTTCTGTTGCTCCACAAGAGGTCACGGACACAAGGCCACCGCGCCTAGTGCACAAGCCACGAGTTATTAGACCCCCGTTTTTCAGAAGGGGTAAGTTGAAGGGAACTCGGGCTGCATGGTGGTTTGCTGCTCATGACGTGTACATGATGATGATGATGATGATGATTATGAATCTCAGATGGTGTTTTTGAGGTCTGAGGAATGGTGTCATTCTCCCACCATGAACCCAGCCTTTTGCAGCATGCACTAACACCGCCTCTGTGCATTCCTCACCGGGGCACAACTCATTTATTTTCAGTTACACTTTTTCCCACACCTCATACTCGAGCCCTGAACATGACGGTTCTTATTCCTCTTACACAATATGAGAAACGAGGGTAACTCCCTTTTCCTACCACTGACGGGATTTTTAAAGTAACGTGGACATTTCAGCGCTGAACACTTTACACATTTCCTATTTTTAATCAAGGCTGTTTGAGATTGTTTCGTTGACATGTGTGTACGTGTGTCTGTGTGAATGTGTGCACACATACATGCATGTGTGTGTGCATACATGTGTGTCTGGGATGGATACACTAGGCAAAAGTGGCGCTAGTACACAGATGATAGTGTGCTCTGGGCCTTCATACCTTGTTTCTATCCCTCCTTCTTTCTTTCCGTCTGTCTTTGTCTTCCTATCCCTGAGAACAAGACAGAATACAAGCTTGACTGACTGCGGACATGTTCCAGCAGTCTTTAAGATTTTGTCTTCTGCTCAGGACAGTCTCTCTCCGTCCTACTTTCAGTCCGTCTCTGAACCTATGACATGTCATATCTGCTGCCCAGCCGCCCTGCTCCTCCTCCTCACCCCCCCCCCCCTCTCCTGCTCTTCTTCCTCACAGCTCTTCCTGTCCGACCTCTGACCTCATATGACCTCATGTTGACCTCTGGGCCTCCTCCTTCTCTTGTCATCTTATTTTCCCGCGCTCCTCCCTCGTTCAGTCGAGCGGGGAACCTCTCTCAATCCTCCTCTCTCAATCCAGCTCTGTGTGTGTACTACAGTTTGTGCATGTGCATGCTGCATGCTTTGCTGTATTTGTTTGTGTGTGTGTGTGTGTGTGTGTGTGTGTGTGTGTGTGTAAGTTTGTGTGTGTGTGAGTGTGTTCAGACCTGGGCTTTAGTTAAAAGTAGCAGAATTTGCTATTTATTCAAAAGAAAATCACTTTTAGTTTAATTAAGCTTGCAAGGATTTATTGTGTATGAATATTATATCTTGTTTTCACACACAGTGTTTGTAATGCCTTGCAAGAAAAATAAGGCTCAGTTTAATACTTTAAATATGTAAAAAAAAAAAAAAAAAAAAAAAAAAAAGAATCTTTAAATACATTTTTACCCAGGTCTACTCAGATTTTTGTCCGTACAGTGACTTGGACTTGTGAGTCTGGACTTTCCTGAACAAAATAAAGTTTGCTGTTTTGGATCCTGACATCGTTATGTGCATGGCATGCTTTCAATGTATGAAGTTTTCTTCACACTGTAAAATGTTTTCTCTGTTCAATGGGTGTATTTCGGTCTTGTTTTTAATGCTATATTAACAAACAAATGTTTATTTTTTTTTCTTTACCTGTTAAATAAATGGTGTGTTATTTAATGCTACACTGTAACACATGGTCAGCTGCGTCGCAAATAATGTTCAACGTACAGTGTTGCTGTGACGTGTCTTTCATTCATGGGCAAAACTACTAGCTGTAAATTATTCTCCATAGTTTGTACACATTTTTCTCTTATTTTATTTTTCATTCATTTTTTTAATGAACTACGTTTTGCCCAAGTCTGATGACAGAGTCACTGTTAACATTGTCTGAACGTTATCTGCCAGCAGGGATGATGCTGTGAGGTGTGTTTGTGTATTGGTTTGGGTGTGTGTGACTCTTTCTAAAAGTGTGTGTCCTCATCTGTATGTTAATGTGAGTGCAGTATCGTGTGTATGTGTACGTGTGTGGTGTGTGTACAGTGGTAACATAAGTAGTGTGATGTGCAGTGTGTTGTCTTTGTTTTTTCAGTTGTTGTTTTTTTTATTTATTGTGCCATGACAATCTGTGGACTTTAATTTGTGCTTCACTACATCCTGTGCCTTTGACACCCGTGTGTGTGTGTGCGTGTATGTTTTGTGTTTAAATAGCAGGAGTGAAGGGAAAGGCTAACCCAGATTCATCTAACTCATCCTAACTCTCATTTCTAATTCTGACTCATTCCTCTCTGCTCACCTCATTCTGGCGCTGCATCTCATCACCCTGGCCCTGTACCATCCCAGAAACACACACACATGCTTACTCACATGTTAGTCCATTAGTGCAAAATCTCTGACAGACAATGACTTGCACAGTAAAGCAGTATTTCACCCATTAAAACCCATTTTTGCTGGTCAGAGTTGTTGGATTGCCAGTAGTTTTTAGCTACATGACTCTATTTACAACAGTTTGACTTGCTGTGACATTTTAATTATGGTAGAACAGATGCTGGTAAAATTCACCTAATCTACATTTTGACCTGGAGGCTTTTAAAACCTGAGAATAGAAAAATGCACATATTGGCAGGTCTGGTGAGGTAGGCTTTGCTATATTGTTCTACTCAATAACTTTTTTTACCATAGCTTGCTGTCTTGCCCAGGTCTCCCTTGTAAAAGAGATCATTGATCTCAACTGGACTTACCTGGTTGAATATAGGTTAAATAAAAGAAATAAATCATAGCTTGACTTTAACTACTTAATGAATGCATACATTTTTAGTTCTATCTTCAAAAAACACAAAAGCTATGCTGAAAAATTAAAAGAAATGACAGTGAGTCGAATGTCTCTGAGGGTTTAGTCGTCATGCTTAACTATTAGGTTAATCACGGACAGTGTCCAGGTAGGAAATCCTCTTACTTTCTGTTTACACAGCTGCACATTACAGCAGTTTCCATACTGAAACATTCTGATGGATGTAATTTTATGAAAGTCATAATTTCTTAGAGAGGATTCTTTGTGATTATACTCACAGGCGTAATCCTTATTCCTTCAGAACCATAATCAAAGTACAAAAAAGCTGTTTTTTAAAAGAATGGGACTGAGAAATATAGCTTTAGTCGATGTGCTGTATTTCATTGGACAAATGAGCTGAAATGATTTGATTCCTACAAACAAATCTCCTTTGCTTGTTTTTGAACTTTCTAGTTTAGATAAGGACAAGAAATACCAAGTATGTTAGCTCTGGATTACAAGAAGCAGAACTTGATCAATTTGTCAAAACTGCCCGCAAAGGATAGTCCCAAAACGTAAGGTTGTGCATTATACCTAAGGTGTTCTTTAAGAGCCTCATCTCAGCCGCACTACAATAAAGACTCTACTCAACTTTCAGATGTTTGTGGTTTTACCCTGTCAACCTGACATGCAAGGTGACATCACACCTCGGTGCTTCACTTGCTTAAAAATTTTGCACTCCAAATTGGATCATGGCTCTGAAGCAGAACACATCCTAACTTTGATTTTAGGTGATTTACTGCTTTACTGTTCAATTTCACCTTAATTTCATTCATCTGAACTCATTGATGCAACAGTTTAACTTAGAGTAAAAACGCAATCCCCAATCTAAACTGGTCACGTGTACAAAACTATGAGAGAACTACCATCTTTAAATGTCACTAGAGAACACATGGGTTACAATCTCTATTAACAAAGTATATTTTGATACTAAATATGAGTCAGTATTTATTTTTAAATAGTTAGGCATTTAACCATGTCTTTATGTTGACCTTTGATATTAGATAATGAACAAAAATTCTACTCAATCAAATTATTATAAGGGAACAAAAGAAGAAACACCAGCTATCAAAAAGAAATGCACATCATAAGAATCCAGTAAACATATCAAAAGACTGAACATAATGACATTTAAACTCAGTTAAAGGAGCTCTTAAATGTATAAATACAACTTTTGCAATGAATTTAAATCACATTATCATATTATACTGTAGCATATATTTGTTTTATCCTAAAATTATTAGTGAGTTATCAAAAATGACCATAGAATAATCAAAAATTACAAATGAATGGTCAGAAATTACAGCTGAATTAGTAAAAATTATGTCTGAATTATTAAAACATATTGAAATGGATATAATGAACTGAATATAATGTGTGTCTGTGTAGTTGAAAGTGTGTTTGTGTGTGACCTTGTGTATTTTTCCAGTGTTGTTGCGATGACTTGTCGTGATAATGGACTCAAAGTAAAACAAAAATTGATGGTCAAGCACCCAGCAGTGTGTAAAAAGTATTTTGTTAATACATGAATTTAATGAATAAAACAAAAATGGTGGAATAATGTTTGTTAGCCCAACAATATAATTTATTCATTTACAATTAATTCATTAAAATCTCTTAAATCTTATTGTAAGAAGCTCAGCAGGAAAACATACAAGAATACATGCTGGAAAAAATGACCCCTTCAGCTTAGAATAAAATGGAGACTAAGTTGTAAAAAAAAAAGTCTTAAAACATTGTCTGATGTGTGTGTACATATTTATTACTGTGTGTGTCTGTGTATGAGTGAGTGTGTGTGTGCGCGCGCGTGTGTGTACAATGACCTTTATTTGGATGCTCGGGATGCAGACACACACATGCATGACTCTGACAATGCAAGAGTAACAGTAACTTGCATTTTGCTCTGCAGAATCTGCAAGGTGCTGCTGACTCCCAGTCAGGACGGTGTGACAAGGGTTGGAACGATAATAGCTGCAGATGTTTTATTACAGTTTGTTAACTTCATTTAACAGGCTGTCTAGAATATTTTGTCAGTCCTGGAAAAAGTACAGCACCCAGCCTCTGCCTTGATTGGTCAAAACCAATAGTTACCGAAAGATAAACAAATTTAACATGCTTTTTGAAACTAAACATATCTGTGATGGCCAGATTTCAAATGTACAGTACTTCCTTTATATATTGAAATTTCATTAATAGCTGTATGTGAGTGCAACAGCTGTCATAGACGTCTTTGCTAACGTTGCTGCTTAATGAACTTCAATGAATTACAATCAGGATACTAATATCCAATTGGAGTACTTTCCTCAGACGTTAGTGTGTTACTAATGATAACTTTATATCGTGCCAACCCCACAATCAAAATGCTGTATAACTCTAGACTCACCTTTTTCCGCTTACCAAGGAACACAGTGAATGTTCTGCAGATTCACTTTCCTACACCAGAGTCCTGCACCAGTCACCTCACAGACAGTGGGTGATGCACCAAACCCCCTTGACCCCCACCTCACTCTTACTGCTGTGTCCCAATGACAAAAACCTGAAGTGCCACAAATATCAATTAGACAACATTAGAAAGACAAAGGAAGCTGATTTCAAAGTGAAAGACAAGTATTTGTCTTGTGCTTCACCTAAAACTGAAAGTACAAAACATTCTGGCTGGGACTTATTGGAGTCAGATTACTGGTTCATCATATCTTTTTTCACACCTAAAGAAATACTTCATCCTCCAGATGACCATTTGAATATCAATTACTCACCCTGTGTAACATTTAATTCGTGAAGAAAAACTATTTTTCTCACATGCCCCCGGTGATTCTCGATGAAGTCATCGGCCCAAGTGTTTCACAACAACAAAACTATTTCAAAAATATCTGTTTGCAAACTCTCACACAACTTGTGCAGTATAATCCAAGTCTAATTTATCCAGTTGTATGCTCAGTACTTCCCAAATAGAAAGCCCTTACAAATGGGGAGCTGAATAGAAAGTCTATCTTTAATCTGTGCTCTCTTTAAAGCCAGACTCCATTGACAAAAACAGTAATTTTACTTTGCTAAACACAGGAGCTGCTGGTCTACTGCTGCCGCGATTGGTTAGTTAGTTTGTTTTATTGTGTGACTTTGGTGTTTTAAAGGGTTAGGTCAGATTAAGCAAAGTCACACAATAACAAAAATAAAGGAACAATCAAGGCAGCAGTAGTCCAGCAGCTCCTGTGCTGAGCAAGGTAAAATTACTGATTTTGTCAAGGGAGTCTTGCTTTGAAGAAAGCTCCTGTTCAGTTCCCTGAAGTATTGAGCATACGACTGGATAAATGAGACTTGGATTATACTGCACAAGTTTTGTGAAAGTTCGTAATCAGATGTTTACATATAAAGTAATGTAAGGTAAGGTAAAACTTTAATGTCCCTGTAGGGCAAATGTCCCCGTAGGGCAACAACCCTGTATAGTTTTGCTGTTGTTAAATGTGAATCCCTGTGACCTCAATTTATCAAGAATTTACTTGTTTTTGGACTCTTTGTTCATTGGATGCGAGAAAAACATAACAAAACAAATCTTGTTTTCATGAGTTCAACATAATATGGCGTACAGGAAGTAACTGATATACAAATGGTCATTTGGGGGATGAAGTATTCCTATTATTAAACTGATTGAAGGATATCTCAATCCTAAATTAGCCGCTATATAAAGACTGACTCCGGTCAGTTTCTTGGTGTATTGGGACAGGGCTGAGCCCCACTGTTTCCTCACAGGTTGGAGAAACAGTCGATCCACCACCTCCCCGCCCTCCTCCTGGCTATGCCTGCGTGGTGTTAGTCTTTCTCTTGTCTCGCCCCTGTCTTCCCTCAGGTTATGGGCTGGTGCAGGAGGAGCTGCTGTCCCCGGCCTCCATGCAGTACAGCTTACCCTCCCCGCTGGGCGCAGAGCCCTACTGGCAGGAAGTCTCCAGCCTTGAGTGCGCCCCCATCGCCACCACCGAGGAAGACACATTAATGGAGATGTCGGATGTTCAGGTGTGGCCGGCAGGGGTCAGCCCCTCGTTGGTCACGGTGGAGGACTCGTCACTGGAGGGCAGCAGTCGGGCTGACGACTCAGAGGGCGCCACGCTCTCCCTTCCCTGCAGCTTGGGTCGCCCAAGCAGCGGAGCCAGCGGGGCCAGTGGCTCCATCATGGAGTTGGAAGAGGAGGAGGAGGAGGAGGAGGAAGGGGAGGTTGAGGAGGAGGAGGCGCCACAGGAGCCAGCAACTTTACTGGCAGAACGGGACAGGGTGAGGGCCAGTGGCGCCGTTCCTAAGGTCAACCTAAACGGCCAGCTGGGAGGTCAGAGGTTGGATGGAAGGAGAGGGGAGGTCCTGGCAGCAGGAGGGGCAAAAGGAGGAGGTGGAGGTATAGGGTTGGGTTCAGTGGAAGGGATTTCTGTTGTTACAGGCCAGCAGGTGTACGCCCAGCGGTGCGAGATATCGGGACCGAGTCGGGCTCCAGAGCACAACGGAGATAACCGGTACGTCAGCTGTAACTGTAGTTAAACTGAAAATATTGTGTTTTGTTTTCCACTTCCTGTACTCAAAACGCCAACATATCTGATATATCACTTTGTCTCTCCTTTGCTTTTTCGTATTTCGCTCTCCAGGGTGGTAGGAGGCGGAGCTTTTCAACCCTACTTACCAGATAAGGACTCCCTGCAAGGCTGGGTGGGCTCGGTGTCATCAGGACGCGACGGCAGCGTGCCAGGCTTGCGCGTGGCCCAGGAGGCTCTGCTGACTCCGGTGTGTGACACGGGTTACTCTCATGTGCTGCGTGGGCGCCTCCTGCAGGGCACGCAGCCCTTTGAAAAGGGGCTGGGCTTCTCTCACCAGGAGGCGGGCCAACGTGTGTGGGAGCAGGAGCAGAGGCGGGGCCAGGTCAGGTTGCCGACCACCCGCCGCTTCCTGCGCCTGGAGGGGGAACATCTTTGTCCATCCCTTTATCTTTTTTGAATTCTCCAAGGGGAAGGCAGTCATTCAGTTTGATTTCTTCGCTCACAACCATCAACAATTTTAGTCTCACTTAACAACAATCATCAAAATTGATTATTTTGATGAGGCCGACCAGAGTGATGTGTTGTGTGGTGCAACACATGGGGAATATCTGCCATGTCAAGCACTTTTTTGGTTTTATTTTACATGTAACTGCAAACAGTTTACCGTCAAATATAAGTACTGTAAATTGCTGTTTAAATTTACATGTCTTATTTCTGTACAGAGAGAGGAGAAAGAGGACTATGCTACTGAGGCGCAGTTTGTTGATGAACACGGATGCGTGCTCACCAGGAAGGTGAGTCAGTCGTGTTTTCATCTTTTACACTGAGTCATACACAAACACTGTCAGCCCAAGCAGATTACTGTGAATCAGTCACATAGCCTGGCACAAAGGGTGGCAAATTAACACCAGCCACCAGCCACCAGCCAAATGTTGGTTAAAGCATTTTGTCCCCATCAGCAGATTCGACAACAAACCTACTAAAGGCGTTTTCGGGCCGAACTGTTCTGGACTTCCTGAGAGGAATTGATCACTGGGGAGCTGTTTTCTGTTTGCATTCACATCACTGATAGGAACGCCAAGTGATGTACAATCAGCCAGCCAGTGGTTGGTATTGCAACGTCAATTTCGCTTTCACAAGTTCATATCACATTGTATTTCCACCGTCACATACCGTAAAACTTCAATTAGTAGCCCGGGCTATTATTTGCCTACATCACTGAAATCAACAGGCGTCTATATGGGACATGCCTTTAATTTCTTTCACACAAAACTGTTGCTCAGCAAAGATTGGTAATTACAATCAAATATATCTTAATATTAGTTATTTAAAATTTAGGCTTCAGGTAATGTATTAATCATGAATCAATCATTTTATCCAGCTCCGACAGACAGCGCATCAGAGAGAGAGTTAGCCGGCACCACTTTATCCTGTTAGAACGATCTCAGAACTTGGATTAATTTTTATGAAAAACACTTTTGATTCTTTTGATCTGAGGACCCTTACGGACTAAAGGAATATGAATAACTTACAGGATAATCGAGGAATGGACACATAATATGAGGTAGCCAACAACCCGTTATTATGCATCTGAAGAACTAACGAATCTAATTGAGACAGGCCTTTATTTGTCAAAATGTATCGCCACACCGGGGTAGTAAAAGGGACTGGGTGTTTAACTGGGACAAGGCTTTTAATTTAAGTTTCATAGTATTTGCTCAGCAAAGCCTGGTATGCACTGTCAGTCCATTTGTCTGTGATCTCTTTTACGTTCCAAGCTGTTTGTATTATTTGTTGTTTACACGGCTCATAGGTTGTTAAAAATGGCAGTTGCTGGTGCTGCATTGGCTCACTTGTTCAAACAATTAAGGTACACTTATGACATCTGGACCAAACACTTACGCCACTCACGGTTCTTCTTGTGCTGGGAGAGTACCTACTCTGAAATAGGAGCTCAAATAAAAACTATGATCACTCCTGGTTCTTGCGCTGCAGACACAACAAAAAGGGGGCTCTTAGAACTATGAATGAACTATAAAAAAGTTCCTCCGGTCCGAAAACGCCTTATGATTCTGAGTTGCTAACTCAGACATTAAACATATGTATACTAAAAACATCCATACATTTAAAACTGCAAGACATAGTTGCACAAAATGAGTTGAAAAGCGAGGCATCACCATCATCACTGGCAAAATGCTTACACATTTGGTGTTTGTATGTTGAGACTGCAGTGAGCCACAGTGGCTGGCTGATGGACAGACAAGTTACACTATATTTCCACCAGATCTGGCGAGGACGCAAGGGGGACATGCTGCTCCACTCAACTGGCCACTTGATGGGCTCCCTACTGATTCCGTACCCTATTGTGGAGTGCACCTGATTGGATAAACATGCTGTCAGTTGGGGCGGTCCCTAGTTCTGTCTTTAGCAGGAAACAAGATGGCAGCCTGCTCATAAATTTGCTATTATATCATCTAAACAAGACACCAAAATCTTTGTCTGAAAACATTTATGGAGGGAAGAGAGAGACAATGCCACTGCTGAATCTTGTTTCATTTTAAAACTACTTCACCAAATTTGACAGCCTGGTCCAAGTTTTATGAGCCAGCCACATCACGCTAGATGAATTTATTTGCATAAAGTCGAGTCAAGTCTACTTTATGTAAATACAGACTGGGGAACACACCGCAACCCCTTCTCCAAACTCGCTAAAACAATTATTAGAAGGTGTTGAGACGCCCTCCATTGTCGGGTCTGGTGGAAATGCATCATCAGTTTCCTGACCTGGTCACATGTGCAGGCTTCAGCAGCTAACTGGTCCAAGTGTTGTGTCCTTCCCTCCTCCCTCCCTCCTTGCTCCAGGTGGGGGTGGATGTGAGAAAGGGCGCTCAGTCAGCGCAGCGCACCAGTCTGCGGAGAGTTAAACACTGAAATACACATACTGCCCAGTCCTCCAGGTACGGGACAACCAACAAGCACTTGTGCATCCCAGTGCTTGGATAGAAGCCTGAGTGGCAACATACTGGAGTCTCAGTAGTCTCTCACATGCTGTTCTTTTTTCATTAGAACCCAAGATTTGGTGTTCTTTGATTATTTAAAATTTTTTGGAAGGCCAAATTAGTTTTGCCTTTGCTTTGTGTGTAAATGATGTGCGTCTCTGTTTCCTAGGACCGGAAAGCCACTGCCAAATCATCCTCCACAAAAACACAACAAGGCCGGCGAGGAAAATGAGCAAGGACGGAGACAAAGACAAAGACTAAGAAGTGCAAACTACAAAATGACAAACACAAAATCATCCTCTACGTGTGACTATGGAGCACCACATGAGAGAAGAGACAGAGGAAAAGAAAAAACAAAACAAAACAAGAGGAGTTCAACTTGTAGTTTTATAACATTTGTAAAGAAAAATATCAACTAGACTTAAGGCATGATTCTTCTTCTTTTTTTTTTTTTACAAAAAAACAACATAAATGTCAGTAAAACAACCAAGAAAAAAAAGCAACAAGAAGTGCTTCCTGTGAACTGTAATCGCATGATGACTGCTGGTGCATGCCCTTTGACCTTTTGAACTGTCATTATCTACAAACTGAAGGGGTACAAGGTACGGGGCTGGCCCACGCTTGGGCCTCAGGCCATTTTAAGGACCTATTCCCCCCGACTGGAGTGGTTTGTGTCAGCGAGTTGAGTCCAATATCACTACAGCCAAAAAAAAAAAAAAAAAGAGTCCCTCAACGGATGGTTCTGTAAACAGCTAAGCTTCTGCTGAGCCTACCAATGCTTCTTTCACCGAACCCTTTCCCCTACTATTCTCAATGTGATATATGCACTCTATGCTACGTGGACATGTGTCAGTGTGTGTGTGTATGTGTGCGCGTACTCTTCTCTACCGCATGTGTTCCCTGCCTCTGGCTTGGCGCTGAGCCCTGCCTCACGATCGGCTCTTTGGGCCCCTGCGATGTCATGGCGCGCTCAGCGCTGGAATGAGAAAGCCGCTGTGTGCTCCCCTGCTCGTGAGTGTTCCTGTCGGACGTCTCTTTCCTTTGTGGATGAAGCTTGTCTCTTGTTTTTTCCCGTTTCTCCGGAAGCCTGTCCACCTTGGTTTTTAAGCATCGTCTTACAAAATGGTAGGGAACTGAATCGCTTTCACCCTTCGTGTTTTCTTCAGAAAGGCGTCGGTTGCTTGATTGTATCGTACAGCAGCTCTTCAACACAAAGATCGATGTTTTCCTCCCCCGGTGACCTCTACCTTCTTCCATCATTTCTCCCAGTAGCACGCTTCATCTTGACTCACGATCTTTATCAGTAGCCTCAGTTAATATGCAGTAAAATCACAGGCCTCTTTATCTACAGCATCGATAGTTCCTCCATCTGACGCTTCAAACTTTGTGTGTGCTCCCTCTTTATGTGTTTGCAACGGCTGTAGCGCCTCACCGTCGCTCATTCATTTGCAACAAAGTGAATGAAGTGGAAACAACGTGGAGGATACGGTGATTTTGGAGGATTTGTGGTGATGGTGAAATAGCACGATGCTACTACAGTACGACGCGTGATTGTGATGGGAACTGTGCAGCGCGGACAGACAGGTAGCACTGTGATTGTCTTATTAACACTGACCCCAGACTCGTGAACTGTGAAGACACACCAACAAAAGCACACCCACACATGCATACACACAAATAATCAAAAACGCATTACATGATTCAATAGTTATTGCCTGGTCGGAGTGTCAGATTTTGGAGTTTGCCACAGCAATAATACAACAACACAGAAGATGGACGCCAGGATTCTGCATCTCTACACGAAGGATCGGAACGTGACCGGTGTAAACGACTGAGCTGCTCGGTGAAGAAAGAAGCCGCCTGGACGAACTGCAATCGCGTTTGGCATTGGGCAGCCGTGCTGTGTCTGACTGCTTCCGTCGAGCTTGATGTGAACGAGTCGGCGAGGACGCAAGATCAGAAGAGCTGTAGCAGTGCGGGTCTGTGGAGGCCTGAGAGGATCTGTTTGTTTTTCAGCACCTAACGTAGCAAAATATAAACCAGGATATGTTAGTTTAATATCAAGGAGTCTGCTGCTGCCGTGAGGTGGACACCGCCGAGCTCCATTTTCTTTTTGAGTATTTCAAGTACTTTTTAGTGTTTCACTATTTTCATACACACGTCACTCTAAACCACCCATCACTCTCCTCATCTCCAAAACACTTCCTTTATGCAGAAGCCTGCCTGCAGCACTATGGAGGGGTCGTATCGTGGTAGCACACATTTCCTGGAAACACAATATTTAAGTACTGTAAATGCTACTGTAGCCTGAATGAGTGAGACACTGAGTGAATGAATGAGTGGACACATTAGTTGAGACATCACACACATGCACATATTTCCCACGCCCAGTCCGTGCACATGAGAGACTCATCCGATATAGCACATGTTTATTACATATCATGTTTTCCACTGTTACTCCACTCAGGTTTTCAGTTCTGCGCTGTCAGAATCAAAATGTTTTCCTTTTTAAGTTCCGAGTCCTCTCAAGAGACGAGTGCGGGACACAAACCGAGTGCTTCTGAATAAGACTTTGGTGTTGGGGCTGTTTTGGGGTGGGATGCGTAGGGGTTTAGGGGGGGACGTATGGAGCAGGATGGTGTGTGTGTGTGAGTGTGAATGTGTGTGGTGGGATGCTCTTTGATTCAAGTAAGACCAAAGAGGAGACAAAGTATTGAGCATGTCGTCAGTAACCCCTCAGCTCTCTGGCCTGTGCGTGCAAATGGGCATGGAGAGCGTCCTCTCAAAGTGACGATCAACAGAGGTGAACCAAAAAGGTTTTGGTGAAGGATTACCCCCTCTACAAAGGAGTTAAACAAGACAGTGTACTTTGGATGCACAATTTACTCTCCAGTGTTTGCAGCACTTAGTGTTTTATTTGAGTAACCTTTTTCGACCTGCTCTCTAATCAAACCAGATGTTCTTATAAAGTCAAATTTGTAATTCTGAGGCTTGAATCTGCCCACCAGAGGACAAACAAAACACCCTCTCTGTATTTACACTCTGTCCAAACTAGCATGCTCAGTGCAGCTTGCTTTTAGATGATGGAGGCCAGTGACTCCTTCAGTCTCTAAAGCAGCCATTCAGTGTATTGGCATGGAGGAATTACCCCTCTACAGTATATACAGTAGTACACATGGGATTTTAACTGTATACCCATGCACGCAAGAGGGATTTACAGGAAATGATGTGTGTGCGAGAGAGACAAAAACCGCTGCATAGATGTGTCTCCAGTAATGTGAAAGACAACATTCAATCAGTATTACGGAGTCAGATGATACTGTTAACGGCCTTCTTCACAATGAATCGTATCATGCTTTGAATAGACTGCAGCTACCATTTAATTGAAGGGTAACTTTTGTATTTTTCAACCTGGACCCTATTGTTCCATGTTCTTGTGTCTACATGACTAATGGAGACAACAAATTTTGACATTGTTCCAGTATTGAACTACACAGCTGCAGCCAGCATTTGAGAAAACTTCCTGGGGCGTGTTCGCCTGTCAATTTACATCCACTTAAAGTGCTTTTTTTTTTTTTTTTTTTTGCCATTGACAGGCTCAGATTATTATTCTAAGTGTCTGACAACTTACGGGAAGGATCCCTACAGAGATAGACCTTTTCGTTAAAGTGTAAGATTCTTTATGTTAGTAATAGTAGGTCCTCCTTTATGTCTACCAGAAACAGCCCCGAAATCACCATCGTTAAACCCACCAGACTCCATTTAAATAAACAGACATTTTAGCGTGTGGTATTTTCACATCTAACTGGGTGAATTAAAGGTTTATTTCAACCAAACCAAATTTGGTTAATGTTGGAGCAGTGGAAAGACGAGCCAAGATGGTTTTTGTGAGTTTCATTTTGTTTCTGTCGACTCTGAATGAAGTGTGTTTTATGATGTTAAAATTACTGTTAATTTAAATAGAGTCTGGTGGGTTTGGCAACAGTGATTATGTAGCTGTTTGTACAAAACAAAAAGGATCTCACTCTTTAACAAAAAGGTCTATCTCTGTTGGGATCCTTTCCATAATGTTGTTAGACTCTTGTAACAACAATTTGAGCCTGTCAGTGGCAAAAACACGGCGATGGTGTGTAATTTCCCATTAATATTAATTAATTGTTTGGAAACATAAACATGGGGAAATGGGGTCCAGGTTGAAAAATACAGAAGTTACCCTTTAAAAATGTGTGTAGAGTAAGCTTTGAAACTTATTTAGACTGTCATGTAGAAGATAGAATTTGCCGACAACAAACATTATGCAGATCATTAAATGTGCGAAAAACTTTATTTAACAGAGGGCAGGATTTGATTAGCAAAGATGGGACTTACTTTAAATCTTGGCTATGGCACTGGCAGCCTCTTGAAGTGTGTTTGCTGCCCCCAGTGTTTGATGTCTTCCCAAATGCAACTCTGGGAGCTGTAATATTATAACAGACTTGATACCACATCTTAAGGATTATAACTTTAACTCAGAGCCATTATCTTTTTGTTCAGCGTACAGTTAAAAGACCAGATACTGATCAATTTTAAATCATGAATAAATGTACACTTGGCCACCATGTGAAATGATTTATGAAGTAGTTTTATTTTAAATTAAATCATCTGTTTACCCTCTAAAGTGGAAAATAATAATTTGGATTATTAATCTGAATTAAACCAGTCAGAGAGCCTGTGCACTATGATCAATTTAACTCCACCATGATTGTGTTGTGTGTACGTGTGAGTGTGAGTGCGTGTGAGAGAGAGATGGTGCTTGGTTCCAAACCTTGTTGGATCAGGGGGAAAAAAAGTGAGAACGCTTTTATCGGGCTTGTGACTCGAGAGGACGTGTAACCTTCGACGATGTATTTTAAAAAAAAAAAAAAACAGTATTGTACAATTGTAATTGTCGCGAAAGAATAGAGATCACCTATACTCCTTTAGAATGGATACATGACAATGTAAACGCAATATCATATTACTCTATCCTAAGGAATGCAACTGCGCACATGCACAAAAAAATATGTTTTTATGAAAATATATGTATAAATATATGACAAAATATATTTAATTAGAATGCTATGCACCCTCATAGAGTTGTTATGGATGTTCTTTAAGCATTATCTAGACTAGGCCAACGCCCATATCATGGGGAATGTAGAGGCTTTGTAGCTATGACCACTTGTTTTCTTTTGTATTGTCCTGGAGAGAGGATAAACAAACGTGAATATGTATACAAGCCTTTCAATCAGAGTCATTCTGACATGAAGATATGTATAGATCATCTTACCCTGTACACCAGCTCAAACCATTTACAAGAATTAATTAAACAAAGATGTGACATAAATGTTGTGTCCTGTTTTTGTGACGAGTTAGTGCAGCCTTTTTGTATACAGGGTGTCTACAGGTCCTCGAAAAGTCTTTAAATGTCTTAAGTTTTTTTAATATAAGGCCTTAAAAAGTCTTGAAGTAAGATTCAATCGAAAGGCGCCTGAAAGCAGCACAAGAGAGGTGACGTCGCTCTAGGTTTTAAAGGGTTAAAAGGTCTTAAAAAGTCTTAAATTTAACATGGTTATATCTGTAGACACCCTGGTATAGCTTTGCTGTAACATTCCTGTATGGACTATTGTGTATTCTTTGTCATTTTAAAGTGGTATGCAACTCATATCTCTTTTCAGTTCTTCTTTATTGTGTGAGTCACAAATACCCTAATATTGTACTGAAATGTGTCCCTGCCAAAAAAAGGAGTTCCCTTTAAAGAAGTGCTCCATTTAATAGAAATTAATTGTGATTTAAGTTTGCCTTCCTGTATAAGGCTGCTCTGTACTGGCTTAAGGAGTCAAGTGCACACGAGCCATTACTTGTAAGTGAGTATTAGAAGTCTAGCACCTGGACACTATTTTCCTTTAAGTTAGTATAAACTTTTCCTTTATTATGTACACTTGTTCAACTGCTTGATAGCGCAAATAGCTAATCAGCCAATCATGTGGCATAACTCAATGCATGTAGGCATGTAGACATGGTCAAGACGACCTGCTGAAGTTCAAACCGAGGAAGAATGAGGAAGAAAGGTTATTTAAGTGACTTTGAACGTGGCATGGTTGTTGGTCTGAGTATTTCAGAAACTGCTGATCTACTGGGATTTTCACACACAACCATCTCAGAGGATGGTCCCAAAAAGAGGAAATATCCAGTGAGCAGCAGTTCTCTGGGTCAAAATGCCTTGTTGATGCAGAGGTCAGAGGAGAATGGCCAGACTGGTTCAAGATGATAGAAAGGCAACAGTAACTCAAATAACCACTGGTTACAACCAAGGTCTGCAGAAGACCATCTCTGAACCAACAACACGTCCAACCTTGAAGCAGATGGGCTACAGCAGCAGAAGACCACACCAGGTGACACTCCTGTCAGCTAACAACAGGAACCTGAGGCTACAGTTCACACAGGCTCACCAAAACTGGACAAAAGAAGATTGGAAAAACGTTGCCTGGTCTGATGAGTCTGGATTTCTGCTGCAACATTCAGATGGTAGGTCAGAATTTGGTGTCAACAACATGAAAGCATGGATCCATCCTGCCTTGTATCAACGGTTCAGGCTGCTGGTGGTGGTGTAATGGTGTGGGGGATATTTTCTTGGCACACTTTGGGCCCCTTAGTACCAACTGAGCATGGTTTAAACACCACAGCCTACCTGAGTATTGTTGCTGACCGTGTCCATCCCTTTATGACCACAGTGTACCCATCTTCTGATGGCTACTTCCAGCAGGATAACGCACCATGTCATAAAGCTCAAATCATCTCAAACTGGTTTCTTGAACATGACAATGAGTTCACTGCAACTGTGTGATGCTATCATGTCAATATGGACCAAAATCTCTGAGGAATGTTTCCAGCACCTTGTTGAATCTATGACACCAAGAATTAAGGCAGTTCTGAAGGCAAAGGGGTCCAACCTGGTACTAACACGGTGTACCTAATAAAGTGGCCAGTGAGTGTGTGGAGAGAGAAAGAGAAGACATATCATTTATTCTTGTCCCTAATATCTCTCTGTTGCTGCTTCAAACTGAACATGCTGGATATCAGTGTGATCTGTGTTCGATAGAGCAGCCTGCACATCAGGAAAAACTACAACCCGCACGTGTTGTGACGCCCCCTGCTTCCAGCCAATCACAGCCCTCCTCTCCACGTGTTGTTTTGAAGGAGGACCCTGGCTTGTTTTGGATGTGTCCACACACCACGTGGAGCCACAAGGTAATTTCTGTGCGGTCTGTCGCTTCGTAACGTCTTTCACACTCACCGCAACTTTC